CGTCGGCCTGAGCTGAACAATTTCTTCTCGGCCCGAGGTCGAGGACGTGGTGGGGCACGTGGTGGTGCACCCCAGTCACACGCAGCTTCGGCCAGCATCAATGCGGCCGTCGGAAAAGGCAACTTCCCCGGCACATGCTTCGGCTGTGGGAAGCAAGGGTACCGACGTTTCGAGTGCCCCAATTGTAAGGACAAACCTTACACAAAACGCGCCGATGCGCGGGCTACGGTTGCCTCGGGATCCACCCAGGCTGCGACAAGCGCCCCCGTCACGACAACACCCTCGGCAAGTATAAGTGCCGCTTCAGCGAAATCCGAGCAATCGGAGCTGGCGGACTTAATGGCACAGGTGAAGTCGATGCGCGAGGAGCTCGAGCACTATCGGGCGATGAAGGAGGAGGGTTTTTGATCCGGTCCGCGCTTCGTGCCGCACGCGTCGGGCCGCGAGTATCATGTAACAAGTACGATGTATTGTCTTCTGCAATGGTGTACGAGTTGGACCAGGGGTCCCAGCACTTTCACATTCCAGTAAGACTTCAAGGGAAAAGACGGCACAAGGACATAATCGCTATGGTGGACAGCGGAGCCACCACAAAGTTCATCAACAAGCGATTCATTATCGAGAATAAGGTGCAAACGCGGAAGTTGAAGGAACCAATTCCGCTGTACAATATTGACGGCACCCTGAACAAGGACGGAAGCATCTCGGAGGTAGCAGTGCTACAGATGCATATAGGAGAACACGTCAAGAAGACGGTGTTCACTGTCACGGACATCGGTCCGGAAGATGTGATTGTCGGGTTGGATTGGCTACGCGAGCACAACCCCGAAATAGATTGGGAGAAGGGCTCTCTCAAATTGTCGCGATGTCCTGAAACATGCAGTGCCAGGAGGACTGGCCGAATGGAGCAAGCAGCGACTGCGCGTGATACGGGGGACAGGCCCACGGCGCGCAGGCGTTCGCCGAAGTCCAAACGGTCGGTTATAGGCACTTGCCGGAGTAAGGTGCTCCCGGACTTTGAGCCCGAAGAAGATCCGGTGGACGTAGAGTGGGACGAAGCTGACTTGATTGAGGCCTGGGAGCAAGGTATTACACTCCCTGGTGCCCCTCAGCTGTTCGTCGCAGCTGGGCATACGTACTCCCAGTTGTTTGCTGAGGAGGAAATCAAAAAGAAAGTCGTCAAAACCGCTGAGGAGTCAGTGCCCAAGCAGTACCACGAGTTCCTGAATGTCTTCTCCAAGGAAGCATCAGAACGGCTGCCCGAAAGGAAGCCGTACGATCATGCAATCGAACTCGTGCCCGGCTACTCAACGTTCCATTCGAAGGTGTACCCCCTGTCGAACAATGAGCAGGAGGAGCTTGACAAGTTCCTAAAAGAGCAGCTGGCAAAGGGTTACATACGGGAATCGAAGTCGCCCATCTCGTCCCCCTTCTTCTTCATCAAAAAGAAGGAAGGGACGCTTCGACCCGTACAGGACTACCGCCGATTGAACGCAATCACGGTCAAAAATCGTTACCCATTGCCGTTGATCGCTGAGATGGTGGATAAGCTCCACGGTGCTACGCTCTTTACGAAGTTCGATGTCCGATGGGGATATAACAACGTCCGGATCAAAGCCGGTGACGAGTGGAAGGCGGCGTTTGTAACTAACCGAGGGTTGTACGAGCCCTTGGTGATGTTCTTCGGTCTCACCAACTCCCCCGCTACCTTCCAAGCGATGATGAATGAGATCTTCCACGATCTCATCGTCGGCGGCAAAATCCTTGTGTACCTAGACGATATACTCATCTTCTCCACCAATAAGGAGGAGCATGAGAAGGTCACACGCGAGGTTCTGCGCCGCCTTCAGGACAATGATCTGTTCCTGAAGCCTGAGAAGTGCGAATGGGACGTTCCCAAGGTCGACTACGTCGGCTATGTGTTCGGTGGCGATGAGGTGGCGATGGATCCCGCGAAACTAAAAGGAATCAATGAGTGGCCGGTACCCCGGAACAAGAAAGATGTTCAGAAGTTCCGGGGGTTCTCCAATTTCTACCGCCGCTTCATTAAGGACTTCGCTAAGATCTCGCGACCACTCGACCGGCTCACAGGGAACGACCCATGGCATTGGGGCGAGGAAGAGCAGCATGCCTTCGATGAGCTCAAGCGGCTCTTTGCGACGACTCCAGTCTTGGCGCTGTACGACCCTGATCGGGAAACGCGCATTGAAGTCGATGCCTCAGGGTACGCCACCGGCGGCGTGTTGATGCAGAAGCAGGATGATGGCAAATGGCACCCTATTGCCTTCAGATCCCATGCGATGGACCCGGCACAGCGGAACTACGAGATCTACGATAAGGAGATGCTCGCGATCATTGAGGCGCTAGACGATTGGCGCCACTATCTCGAGGGGCTACCCAATCAGTTCGAGATCGTGACCGATCATAAGAACCTCGAGTACTGGCGTACATCCCAGCACCTCACGCGCCGTCAAGCGCGATGGTCGCTGTTCCTGGCTCGCTTCGACTTTCGCATCACGCACAAGGCCGGGACGTCCAATGGAAAGGCTGATGCCCTGTCGCGTCGATCAGACCACCAGATCGGCGATGAGGACGATAACACCGATCAGGTGGTTCTCAAGCCAGAGCGCTTCCGCATCGCCTCTGCTAGGCGCGGTCATGCCTCGGTGATGGCCGATCAGTCGCTTCTGAAGCGCATCAGGGAGTGTTCGGAGAAGGATCGGGAGGTGGCCGAGGCCCTTGAAAAGGTACAGGACCTCGGGCCGCCCCAGCTGCAAAGGGGTTTTGAGGAGTGGAATGCCGAACAAGGGCTCCTGCTGTTCCGCGGGTGCGTGTACGTCCCAAAGAATGCGGAGCTCCGGCGGGATATAGTCAAAATCCACCACGACTCGCCGATCGCCGGTCATGGCGGTCGTGCCAAAACCCTAGAGCTCGTGTCGCGGAATTACTGGTGGCCTGGGATGTCCAAATTCGTCAATGAGTACGTAAGCACCTGCGACGTGTGCAACCGTACCAAGACATTCCCAGCCAAGCCTCAGGGTCCGCTGAAGCCAAACGAGATCCCCGAGCGCCCGTGGCAGATCATCACCACGGATATGATCGTTGGCTTGCCGAAGTCTGATGGATTCGACTCGATCCTGGTTACCGCCGACCGCTTCACAAAGCAGGTCCACTTCTCGGCCTGTCATGAGACCCTGACGGCAGAAGGTGCGGCAGACCTGTACATCCGCGATGTGTTCAAGCATCATGGGGCCCCAGCCAAGGTCATATCAGACCGAGGACCCCAGTTTGCTTCAAAGTATCTCCATGCAGTGTACAAGGGACTGGGAATCGAGCCGGCGCTGTCCACAGCATTCCACCCTCAGACAGACGGCCAGACTGAGCGCTGGAATCAGGAGATCGAACAGTACCTGCGCGCCTTCACAAGCCACAGGCAGGATGATTGGGCAAAGCAGTTGCCGCTCGCGGAGTTTGCACTGAACAACCGAGTTCACTCCGCGACCAGGCACTCCCCGTTCTTCCTGCATCAGGGGTACAATCCTGAGATCCAGGTTCGGATCAATCCGATGTCTGCAATGCCTGCGGCCGCTGATCGGCTCAAGATCCTGAAGGAGATTCGCGACGATACGCGCTCTGCGCTCGAGCTGTCGGCCGAGCGCATGAAGGTGTACTACGACAAGCACGTGCAGGAGGCACCGGTCTTCGCGCCGGGGGACAAGGTCTGGCTTGACGCTCGGAACCTTAAGCTGAAACAGCCGAGCAAGAAGCTCAGTCCCAAGCGCCTCGGACCTTATGCCGTGCGGCGAAAGCTCGGAGACCTGGATTATGAATTAGTCCTGCCGAAGTCGGTGCCGGTACACCCGGTGTTCCATGTCTCCTTGCTGAGCAAATACACGCGTAGCGATATCCCGGGCCGGGAGCCAGAGGAGCCGCCTGCGATCGAGGTTGAGGGCGACGAGGAGTACGAGGTTGAGCGGATCAAAGATTCGAGGATCTTCCGGCGTCAGCTGCAGTACCTCGTCAAGTGGAAGGGTTATGACGACTCGCATACGTCGTGGGAACCGGCGCGCAACGTTGCCAATGCGCCGGCCCTCATAGCCGACTTCCACCGGAAGAATCCAAACGCCCCTCGTCGACTCAACACTGCTACCTTTGGTGGTCTCAACTTTCAGCCAATGCCTTCGCCGCTGACTGAAGCACGATGCCGCTCCGGGTGGGAGATGGGCAAGGGCGCCTCGCATGAGGTCATGCGCCGTTGAGGGGGGGGTAATGTCACGAGTTGGTACGGCGCCTAGCCGTTTTTTAATTTTTCCTTTTCGCGGGCTCGAACCCGTGACCTCTGTACTACTTGCCCGATACGGACACATCATTATCTACTGTACGATCAGATTAGATAGGACGGCAGTGCACGGCACAGCTCGGGCCCCGCTGACGCAGCCGCTCTGACTCACCGGCCCCAGGGGCTGCATCGGCATGCTGCGCACAGACCAGCTGCGCACGGACCAACGTGCACAGCCTGCCCTAAATCTTCCCATGTATATAAACCAGCCTCTGCTGCCCTAGGGACCTCAGTTTCGACCTCTTGTCCCTAGGTCAGTAAGCTCTCCTGTACTTACCTCCTTTACTTACTAACTAATACATTCTTGTCCCTAGCCTTAGGTTTGAGCCTAGCTCACCATCGCTTCGGTGAGACTTAGTCGGACGCCCCCAGCATTCAAGTTTTCCTCAGTCGCTTGACCTCAAGTCGCGACATCCCCTGTCGCTTGACCTCAAGTCGTGACATTAGGTTGAAACTCCCCATAGCTGCCGGCCTCCCTCGGGACTCCCACAACTCACATTCACTTCCTATAGGTCGGGTGGTGCGCACCCTTACTTTACCCTATGATATATAGATAGTGTACTATACATCGCCACTGCTTGGGGAACGAACCTTTCAGCACCTGCACTTCAGTGGGCGGTGTTTGTCCTAACGGACGCGTGGTCTAGGTTCCTGCTGCATACTAGCCAAAAGCAGTACTGGGCCCCACGTGAATCGCGAACCCTAGCGTTACTTCGGGCGCCGTAGGTGTAAGCTAGTATAGCACAGCCATTGTAGCACACGCACCTCCCCGTCCTCCCCCCATCCATCGTGGCTGCCTATCAAGGCCAGGTTCACACCTTCGACTCTCAGGACCTCGTCGACGTTTACATCCCAGATGGCCCTGAGACTGTCATTTACCGTTGCGAGCAGCAGCCGTGCCCCAACTGGACACTCCGGTCAGTCGCGCAAGATTACCCGCGCTACAAGGTGATCAGAAGGGCCCAACATCCGCTTGGTCCCCGCAGCACCCTCGCATGTCGATCTGCCTCGCGGCACTCTCACCCTGTCTCCCCTAGCTTCCACCTTCCCCAAACTGTCGCCGGTCCCAGTCAAGCGCGAGGAGATCTCCCTCCAGACCCTGCACCAGAGCCTGAGCCTGAGGAGTGTCGCGACTTGAGGTCAAGCGACTGGGGAATACCTAAAGGCTGGGGGCGTCCGACTGGTTCTTACCGAAGCAATGGTGAGCAGCGCTCAAACCTAAGGCTAGGGACAAGATATGTATTAGTTAGTGAAGTAAGTAAGAATACAACTGGGGGCTTACTGACCTAGGGACAAGAGGTCAAAACTGAGGTCCCTAGGGCAGCAGAGGCCGGCTTATATACATGGGTAGATAAGGGCAGGCTGTGCGCGCTGGTCCATGCGCAGCTGGTTCGTGTGCAGCATGCTGACGCGGCCCCGGGGGCCGGTGAGTCAGAGTGGCTGTGTCAGCGTAGCCCGAGCTGTGCCTTGCACTGCCGTCCTATCTAATCTAATCATACAGTAGATATGATGCGTCCGTATCAGGCATGTAGTACAGTAGATATGATGCGTCCGTATCAGGCATGTAGTACAGAGGTCGTGGGTTCGAGCCCGCAAAAAGGAAAAAATTAAAAAACGGCTAGACGCTGTACCAAGTCGTGACAAGGAGAGTGCGAGTGAAGAAGGAGTCTCAGAGTCCAAGTCCACGGATCCTGCTCGGCCCGCCTTGCCGACAGCACTCGCCTCCATGTCAGCAGTCCCTGACATATGTAACCCCGCCTCCAAACTTCCTCCGGCACCTTCACCGCCGTCTCCGCCATGAGGCCGCCCGAGCACTCATTCCTCGCGAAGTTTGCCCGGTGGACAGTCACAACAGTCGCCTTCGTCCACGGGCAGTCCTTTGTCCCCCTCGTCGCCGGTAATGTCTTCTTCCGCCGCCACCCCTGATAAGGAGACGTTGAAGCTCCTCCTCCCTCTCTGATACGATGGAAAAACGGTCGTCGAATGCAACTGCTTCATCTCCCAGTTGCTCATCTACTGGGCGGTTAACACGACCCTCTCCACCATCAAGCTGAAGGTCCAAGTTGCCCTTAGCCTCCTTGATGGTGATGCATGAGCCTGGGCCACTCCCATTTTCACCCAGCTCGCCGCTGTCCATACTGGGACTCAGGGAGTGACAACGCCCTTTGCCAACGAAACGGCCTTCCTCACAGCGTTCAGAGCCCGTTTCGGCAACCTCAACGATGCTGCCGCGGCACAGGTGGAGCTCACCAAGCTCTGTGCTGACAAAACCGTGCGTGAGAAGCGCACCGCCTGTCACGACTTGACATGGCGTCTAGCCGTTTTTTAAAAATTTTCCTTTTCGCGGGCTCGAACCCGTGACCTCTGTACTACTTGCCTGATACGGACACATTATATCTACTGTACGATTAGATTAGATGGGGCGGCAGTGCACGGCACAGCTTGGGCTCTGCTGACACAGCCACTCTGACTCACCGGCCCCTGGGGCCGTGTCAGCATGCTGTGCACGGACCAGCTGTGCACGGACCAACGTGCACAGCCTGCCCTTATCTCCCCCTGTATATAAGCCAGCCTCTGCTTCCCTAGGAACCTCAGTTTTGACCTCTTGTACCTAGGTCAGTAAGCTCATGTACTTACTTACCTTTTCAATGCTAACTTACTTGTCCCTAGCCTTAGGTTTGAGCATCGCTCACCATCGCTTCAGTGAGAATCAGTCGGACGCCCCCAGCTTTTAGGTTTCCCCAGTCGCTTGACCTCAAGTCGTGACATTAGGTCAAAACTCCCCATAGCTGCCGGCATTCCATTAGGACTCCCACACACTCACATTCACTCCCTATAGGTTGGGTGGTGCGCACCCTTACTATACTTTACGATACATAGATAAGCATACTATACATCGCCACCACTAAGGGAACAAACTTTTCAGTACCTGCACTTCAGTGGGTGGTACTTGTCCTCACGGACGCGTGGACTAGGTTCCTGCTGCATAATAGTCAAAAGCAGTACTGGGCCCCACGTGAATTGCAAACCTTAGTGTTACCTCGGGCGCCGTAGGTGTAAGCTAGCTAGCATGGCCTTTCGTAGCACATGCACCTCCCCTTCCTCCCCCCCATCACCGTGGCTGACGAATTCTTTGACTGCTCTCGACTTGAGCACGCCTTCGACACCCAGGAGCAGGTCGATGTCTTTCGCGACGATCCGGAAAGCAACGGAGACAGAGCCCCTTTCTTCATCTGTGACCAGCAACCGTGCCCTAATTGCACTCCACGGTCCATCACTGCCGATGAAGGGCGCTACGTACCAATCCAACGAGTCCAGCACCCCAGCGGCCCCGCACTCCGGTACGCTGGTACTTCGCGATCCACATCTCGTCACGTCACTCCTGTCCCATCTCGACCTGCCTCCCTGGGCACCCGCATCCCCCAACCTGTCGCCAGTACAGGTCAAGCGCGAGGAGATCCCCATCTCCCTCAAGGAACTGAGGCAGTTGCACAGCCTCCAGCGACCCCTCAAGCAATCCCCCAGTCCTCCCTGGGGCCGCGGTTGGAAAGGCCTCCCAAGACCGAGCCCCGCGACACTCCACCGCATTCTTGGGCCGGCTCGTCGTCAGCGGTCACCGCCTCGACTTCAGTCCCTGTCCTACGTCACCCCGCCTCCGGGCTTCCTCGACCGTCTTCACCGCCGTCGCTACCGCGAGGCCGCTCGAGCACTCACTCCTCTCGAAGTTCGACCAGTGGAGGGCCACCACAGCCACCTCCGCCCCCGCAACGTCCTCTGTCCCCCCCAATGCCGATAATGTCCTCTCCCATGACCGCCCCCGATAAGGAGACTTTGAAACTCCTCCTCCCGCTCCGCTACGATGGCAAGACCGTCATCGAATGCAACAGGTTCCTGTCGCAACTCCGCATCTATTGGCTGGTCAACACGTCGCTGACAACCATCGAACTCAAGGTGCAAGTTGCGATGAGCCTGCTCGATGGCGACGCCCGCGCCTGGGCCACTCCATACTTTGCCCAACTCGCATCAGTGCAGATGTGTGTACAAGGGGTCACAACCCCCTTCAGGAACGAAGCAGCCTTCACTGCTGCCTTTAAGGCCCGCTTCGGTAATCTCGACGACGAGGCGGCAGCACAAGTCGAGCTGGCAAAGCTCTGCGCGGACAAGTCGGTCCGCAAAAAACGCACCGCTGCGGAATTCTCCATGCTGTTCAAGGGTCTGGCGGACCGTTCCGGGTATGGGGACCTGGAACTACGTGACAAGTACCTGAGCGGCATCCCCTCCTGCGTCTACCGCAAGATCGAGCTCGAGACCTTCACCACGTGGAGAGACACTGAGAAGCGCGCCACCGAGGTCGAGCAGATCCTCGACATCAGCCGGGCCCATTGGCCCGAGCTGAACAACTTCTTCTCGGCTCGAGGCCGAGGACACGGAGGGGCACGTGGTGGTGCACCTCGACCACAAGGAGCTTCGGCCAGCATCAATGCGGCCGTCGGAAAAGGTGACTTCCCCAATAGTTGCTTCGGCTGCAGGAAGCAAGGGTACCGACGTTTCGAGTGCCCCAACTGTAAGGACAAGCCTTACACAAAACGCGCCAACATGTGGGCTACAGTTGCCTCAGGTTCCACCCAGGTGGCAACAAGCGCCCCCGTCGCTTCATCCTCGGCAAGTACAAGCACCACTTCAGCGAAATCGGAAAGTTCCGAGCTGGCAGACTTGATAGCACAGATGAAGTCGATGCGCGAGGAGCTCAAACACTATTGGGCAATGAAGGAGGAGTCTTTTTGATCCAGTCCACACTTCGTGCCGCACACGTCGGGCCGCGTAGTAATAATTTGTACAATGTATTGGCTACTGTAAATGTGTACGAGTTGGACCACGGGTCCCAGCATTTCCACAACCCGGTGTGCATCCAAGGAAAAAGACAGCACAAGGACGTAATCGCCATGGTGAACAGTGGAGCCACCACAAAGTTTATCAACAAGCGATTCATTATAGAGAATAAGGTGCAGTTGCGGAAATTGAAAGAGCCAATTCCGCTATACAATATCGATGGCACCCTGAACAAAGATGGAAGCATCTCGGAAGTAGCAGTGCTACAGATGCACATAGGAGAACACGTTGAGAAGACGGTGTTTACGGTCACGGACATAGGTCCAGAAGATGTGATCGTCGGATTGGACTGGCTACAAGAGCACAACCCTGAGATCGATTGGGAGTCAGGCTCCCTGAAATTATCGCAATGCCCAGACACATGCAGTGCCAGGAAGACTGGCCGAATGGAGCAAGCAACGGTTGCGCGTAATACAGGGATTAGGCCCACGGCGCGCAGGCGTTCGCCGAAGTCCAAATGATCGGTCATAGGCGCCTGCCGGAGCAAGGTGCTCCCGAACTTTGAACCCGAAGATGATCCGGTGGAGGTAGAGTGGGACGAAGCCGACTTGATCGAGGCCTGGGAACAAGGCATTATGCTTCCCGGCGCTCCTCAGCTGTTCATTGCAGCAAGGCATATGTACTCCCAGCTGTTTGCCGAGGAGGAGATCAAAAAGAAGGTCGTCAAGACCACCGAGGAGTCAGTGCCCAAACAGTATCACGAGTTTCTGAAGGTCTTCTCAAAGGAAGCATCAGAACGGCTACCCAAAAGGAAGCCGTACGATCACGCGATTGAACTCGTACCCGGCTATTCGACGTTCCATTCAAAGGTGTACCCCCTGTCGAACAACAAGCAGGAGGAGCTTGACAAGTTCCTCAAAGAGCAACTAGCGAAGGGTTACATATGGGAGTCGAAGTCGCCCATCTCGTCCCCCTTCTTCTTCATCAAAAAGAAGGAAGGGACGCTTCGACCTGTACAGGACTACCGCCGATTGAACGCGATCACAGTCAAAAATCGTTATTCCTTGCCGTTGATCGCCGAGATGGTGGATAAGCTCTGCGGCGCTACGCTCTTCACGAAGTTTGATGTCTGATGGGGATACAACAACGTTCGGATCAAAGCCGGTGACGAGTGGAAGGCGGCTTTCGTAACTAACCGGGGGTTGTACGAGCCCTTGGTGATGTTCTTTGGCCTCACCAATTCCCCCGCAACTTTCCAGGCCATGATGAACGAGATCTTCCACGATCTCATTGTCGGCGGAAAGATTCTTGTGTACCTAGATGACATACTCATCTTCTCGACCAACAAAGAGGAGCATGAGAAGGTCACATGTGAGGTTCTGCGCCGCCTTCAGGACAACGATCTGTTCCTGAAGCCTGAGAAGTGCGAATGGGATGTTCCCAAGGTCGACTACGACGGCTATGTGTTCGGTGGTGATGAGGTAGCGATGGATCCCGTGAAGCTAAAAGGAATTAATGAGTGGCCGGTACCCCGGAACAAGAAAGATGTTCAGAAGTTCTGGGGGTTCTCCAACTTCTACTACTGCTTCATCAAAGACTTCGCTAAGATCTCGCGACCACTCAACCGGCTCACAGGAAATGACCCATGGCATTGGGGCGAAGAAGAGCAGCACACCTTCGACGAGCTCAAGCGGCTTTTCGCAACGGCTCCAGTCCTAGCGCTGTACGATCCTAACCGGGAAACACGCATTGAGGTTGACGCCTCGGGCTATGCCACTGGCGGCGTGTTGATGCAGAAGCAGGACGATGGCAAATGGCACCCTATTGCCTTCAGATCCCATGTGATGGACCCGGCACAGCGGAATTACAAGATCTACGATAAGGAGATGCTCGCGATCATTGAGGCACTAGATGATTGGTGCCACTATCTCGAGGGGTTACCCAATCAGTTCGAGATCGTAACCGATCATAAGAACCTCGAATACTGGAGCACATCTCAGCACCTCACATGTCGTCAAGCGTGATGGTCGCTATTCCTGGCTTGCTTCGACTTCCACATCACGCACAAAGCCGGAACGTCGAATGGAAAGGCTGATGCCCTGTCACGACGATCAGACCATCAGATCGGCGATAAGGACGATAACACCGATCAGGTGGTTCTCAAACCAGAAAGATTCCGCATCGCCTCTGCTAGGCGCGGTCATGCTTCTGTGACAGCTGATCAGTCACTTCTGAAGCGCATTAGGGAGTGTTTGGAGAAAGATTGGGAGGTGGCTGAGGCACTTGAAAAGGTGCAGGACCTTGGGCCGCCCTGGCTGCAAAGGGGTTTTGAGGAGTGGAATGCCGAACAAGGACTTCTGCTGTTCCACGGGTGCATGTACGTCCCAAAGAATGTGGAGCTCCGGCGGGATATAGTCAAGATCCACCATGACTCACCGATCACCAGTCATGGCAGTCATGCCAAAACCCTGGAGCTCATGTCACAGAATTACTGGTGGCCTAGGATGTCCAAATTCGTCAACGAGTACATAAGCACCTGTGACGTGTGCAATCGTACCAAGACATTCCCAGCCAAGCCCCAGGGTCTGCTGAAGCCAAATGAGATCCCCAAGCACCCATGGCAGATCATCACAACCGATATGAGCATTGGCTTGCCAAAGTCTGATGGATTCAACTCGACCCTGGTCACCGCTGACCGCTTCACAAAGCAGGTCCACTTCTCGGCCTGTCATGAGACCCTGATGGCAGAAGGTGCGGCAGACCTGTACATCCGCGATGTGTTCAAGCATCATGGGGCCCCGGCCAAGGTCATATCAGACCGAGGTCCCCAGTTCGCTTCAAAATATCTCCATGCGGTGTACAAGGGACTGGGAATCGAGCCGGCGCTGTCCACAGCGTTCCACCCTCAGACGGATGGCCAGACTGAGCGCTGGAATCAGGAGATTGAGCAGTACCTGCGTGCTTTCACAAGCCACAGGTAGGATGATTGGGCAAAGCAGTTGCCGCTCGCGGAGTTTGCACTGAACAACCGAGTTCACTCCGTGACCGGGCACTCCCCATTTTTCCTGCATCAGGGGTACCATCTTGAGATTCAGGTTCAGATCAATCCGATGTCTGCGATGCCCGCCGCCGCCAATCGGCTTAAGATCCTGAAGGAGATTCGCGACAATACGCGCTCTGCGCTTGAGCTGTCGGCCAAGCACATGAAAGTGTACTATGACAAGCACGTGCAGGAGGCACCAGTCTTCGCACCGGGGGACAAGGTCTGGCTTGACACTCGGAACCTTAAGCTGAAACAGCCGAGCAAGAAGCTCAGTCCCAAGTGCCTCGGACCTTATGCCGTGCGGCAAAAGCTCGGAGACCTGGATTACGAATTAATCCTGCCAAAGTTGGTGCCGGTGCACCCGGTATTCCATGTCTCCTTGCTTAGCAAGTACATGCATAGCGATATCCTGGGCCGAGAGCCGGAGGAGCCACCTGCGATCGAGGTCGAGGGCGACGTGGAGTACGAGGTTGAGCGGATCAAGGATTCGCGGATCTTCCGGCGTCAACTACAGTACCTCGTCAAGTGGAAGGGTTATGACGACTCACACACATCATGAGAACCAGCGCGCAACATTGCCAATGCGCCGGCCCTCATAGCTGACTTCCACCGGAAGAACCCGAACACCCCTCACCGCCTCAATGCCGCTGTCTTTGGTGGTCTCAACTTTCAGCCAATGCCTTCACCGCTGACTGAAGCACACTACCGTTCCAGGTGGGAGATGGGCAAGGGCGCCTTGCATGAGGTCATGTGCCATTGAGGGGGGGGTAATGTTACAAGTTGGTGCGGTGTCTAGCTGTTTTTAATTTTTTCCTTTTCACGGGCTCAAACCCACGACCTCTGTACTACATGCCTAATATGGACGTGTTGCTATCCACTGTATGATTAGATTAGATGGATGGCAGTGCACGGCACAGCTCGGGCTTTGCTGACACAGCCTCTCTGACTCACCGGCCCCCGGGGCCGCGTCAGCATGCTGCACACGGACCAGCTGTGCACGGACCAGTGCGCACAGCCTCCCCTAAACTTTCCCTGTATATAAGCTGGCCTCTGCTACCCTAGGGACCTCAGTTTTGACCTCTTGTCCCTAGGTCAGTAAGCCTTCCTTTGTATCCTTTCTTTACTTCACTAACTAATATATTATCTTGTCCCTAGCCTTAGGTTTGAGCCTCGCTCACCATTGCTTCAGTAGGATAAGTCAAACGCCCCCAGCTTTAGGTTTTTCCCCTGTTGCTCGACCCTCAGTCATGACAGCCACTCAACCTCAAGTCATGACACACATGGTGCAATCTACAGGCTGCACCTTTGCATAACTCAGCACAATATTTGCTAATTTGCTCTAGTTGTAGAACCAGTAAGTTCATGCTCTCTGCAACTTGAATGTCCTGCTGATGCTGCATCGAGGCAAAATGCCGAGACAGCGGCAGCACCAGCCTGAGCAGGTACAGCCACTAATGCATTAGGAGCACAGCTTGCGGCTTGACATCTATGGGAGCAGGTGGCTGCATCAGGCGAGAACCTATGGATCGGTGCCTGTAATAATAGTACCTGTATTATTACGAGCAAATAAACATGTTTTGTAATAATTTTGCCCTGATTTATTTGTGAGAACCCCGGAGAACCACAACGGGGCAATAGTAAGCAAGCCTGTTGAGGCAATCGATGTTTGCCATGTTGGAACAACGGTGCGAACGGCGCGGGGCGCGTTGGTCCACGGGCGTAGCGATGCCTGTAAGGGACAATCGCGTGCGGTACGTACATCGCGCGGGGTCGTTATATACTACGATAGGGGCCTCTGGCCCCCGGCTACTCGCGCGCCCGAGCTCTCGAGCTCGTTCCTGACCACGCGGGGCTGCGCGTTTCAACATGCCAATTGAACATAAGATTATAAGATTATACATAGGAATAGAACGCTGGCACACCCATACCAGATGACGCAAGTTATATGACATCTTGCCAATAGCCGCCAGTATTGTACCTATTGCAATGATTGTGTCTATGGCCAAAGCAGACTCGCCTCTATAACCTTTCGGCCCCCATGCTCCAATAGTGGTGCCCAATCGCATTGATTGTGCTGCCATGTATGCTATTACACGCCGGATCCGGTTTTGCTGATGTTGGTCGCTCGAGTCGGCCGGAAGATACCGCCGTGGTTGTGTCGCAATGTTCGCTCGTAGTCCATCGATCCGTTGCTGTCACGAACGACGCACGATCCTCGTTCCAGGACACTCCCATAAGATATGCACGTATGGCGATACCACAATACGCTTGCGTGATATCTCCAGGTTATGCTTAGAGCGGACCGGCTGTGGAGGGTGGTATATGGTCCCGCTGCCCGCACGTTCTTGGAGCGCACAAAGCATCAACTTGACATTGCAGTATACGCACATGTTACTGTATAGCATTGTTATACAGAATGATCCTCAGTCGCCCTAGGTAGTTATATAAGCGTGTCCCCTACGCTACGTACCAAACTAGTTGGAGAAGAGATACTAGAATTGGCGTTCACCACCGATCCAGGTACGTGAACCTACGATGAAACGCCTCTAGGTGCAGATCTTCCCCTCCCGTAATCGCCCTTGCCTGCACGGCCTCCCCTAGCAACTCCTCTAGTAGCCCCTCTAGCAGCCCCAGATGCGCCCCGGCCGTCTGCTCGACCTATTCCTCTCGCCCCACTCGCGTTCGCTCTACCACGCAGAAACCCTCGCATTCCACGCCTCAGATTGCCCGCCCCCGGAGCGCCTCGAGTCGACACTTCTGACTGCACCCGCGTACCAGCATCACGGGGCGCCACAGATGCCCTCCCCCGTCCCCTCGTGCCCGGCACTCCCCTTGAGGAGGCTCGCTCGTGTCCGAATCCGGGCATCGACGCACCCCGGCCAAACTTGATATTGCGCGGAACCAAGGACAGTGAGTCAAAGATTCCCATGATTGTATCCATATCGTCATCCTGCACGGCCACATCGGCCTCGCCTTCTATCGTGTCGCTGGTGCTCGTGGTGGGCGTATTTGCATATTCCACAACAACGGCATCGCTGGCGCCTTCCATTGAGATACTGGTGCGCCGTAGGGCAGCATCTGTGTTCCCGTCGTCAATTTCACTTTCTGAGTCGCCTTCAACGCCTTCGCAGGCAGCCGCATCATCCCGTGGCTTCCATTGGCCGCGTACCATGCTCACGCCTTCACCCCAGCGCTTCAGCAGCCCACCGACACCCTTATTAGTGACGGCGAAGAAATATTCTTTTGGATAGCCGTGCGCCTCGATGAGATGCAGACGACGCGTCTTAGGCGTCAGAAATCGTCGTGGACATGTGGCTACATGGCAGGCAAACTTGATATCAAGTCAACATTGTACAGCGCGACTTCCCGTATGAACAGACTAGAACTTACAATCTTCTCTCCTCTGTCCTTACGCACAGCAGCCAGTGGATTGTGGCATTCAGTCTGATGCTAGAAACAAATATGGATGATCAAGGCTGCAAACTGACTTCCTTGCCACTCACCAACTCCAGTAGTCGTGCGTCTGGAAACACGCATCCGCAGCCCTTTTCCTCACAGACGTGCGCGTGATATGTGGCATAATGAGACTCGAGCTGCCCGGTATCTGCCAATGGTGTAGGCCGATTGTGTGGCGGATTGCATGTCGGCGGAAGAGTACAGAGAAGTGGACTAGACACAGATGAGTCTGCAGGAAGCGCGGTGCGTATAGCCTTTGGGGTAGGTTCTGGCGAAGGAGATGGAGAAAGCGAAGTGCTTGAGCTCTCGCGGTAGCGTTTGGTAGACATGGCAAGCGCGCAAGAAACTTTGTCGGTGATCCAGATTACATATTTATATTGCACGCAGCGTCAGTCGCCACAATACGTCACAGAACAATCAAAAGGTCAAAACAGTGCAGAGGAATGCCAAAAACGGTTAGCAGGCCGTGACATATCGCCAAAATAAATGCTTGGCCATCGCAAGGATCGAACTGACGACCTAACCCGTCAGATTAGCGCCACACTGTAGATAGCTAGCGCAATTATTATTATCCCTAATATTGAGATCAACAAATTATCAAGTAAGGACGTTACATTTCGAACTCTCGGGCTCTTGAGTCTTAGCACTAACGCTCACTCTGTGATACCCGTGCGGTGTAGAACTGCCCGCTATGTTCTTCATTGTGAGTAGGATTCGGCTCCTAGTGGGAGACGAGAATGTCATGCAAACTGCTGCCAGAAAGAGCTGTCCCACACAATCCTGCTTCATCCCTCCTACTTCGGCCCGCGCATGCTTCAATTCCTCGAATCAAAACTCTACTCGGACGTCGAGGGGACATGCTCTGGACAATTCGGCTACATCATCGCAGTCGTTTCTATCTTGGACATTGGAAAAGGTATGGTGATCAGCGGCAGCGGCCAGGCCGAGTTCATCACGCGCTACCGAGCGATCGTGTTCAAGCCGTTCAAGGGGGAGGTAGTGGATGGAGTTGTCAACAATGTGAACAAGGTGCGCACACTGCGTCATCTCAAATATAAACTGAGACGATAGACGCGTAGATGGGGTTCTTTGCGGACGTTGGGCCGCTGACAGTCTTCGTGTCGCACCAAGTGAGTCCGCTCAGCTACAGTCCCGACGTCGTAACTGAGCGCGTTCTCAGCTTATCCACCCAGACCTGAAGTTCGACCCGAATTCTAATCCACCGTCATTTGCAAGCGAGGACCAGGTGTGTGCTCTCGGTGAGGCAGCCGTGATCACGACGTGACGCCTCCTACCTTCCCTGCATAAACCTACAGATCATCGAGAAGAACACAAAAGTTCGCCTAAAAATCGTGGGTACGCGTGTAGACGCGACCGAAATTGTATGTATTCCTCGTACTTCTTGCTAGTCGCTAGTCGTCACACTTCTACCCATTACCCTATCGACAGTTCGCAATAGGTACCATCAAGGAAGACCACCTTGGGGTCATTGATTGACTACGACATAAGTCGGACGTTCTAGACTGGTGGCCGTTGTCTCACGGGTGTATATTACTGAACCGTAGCTATCGTCGGTGCTCTGTATTTCTACTCTGTAGTTCGTACTCCATTCACTCATAATACAGTTTTGCGTTGCTGCAGATGTCTGAAGGTGGCTACTAGCCCCGTCATCTCCATGATTACGGTATTAAGTTGAATGCATGAATATAAATATGAGAATACAGGAGAGGACTAACGATAGCAGATCCGACCGAGCATTGATCAAAACAGAGCATACATCCTCCTTCCGAAGTAGTCAGAACACATGGGCTTTTAGCTTACTCTTCATCCTCGAATCGTAGGATTTGAGCGTCCTCGTCTACTGGTATAGTCCGATACCCGCCGCGCGTGTGCATACCCGAGGTGACCCCGCTGAATCGTGACGCGATTGCCTCCCATACAACACTCGCGAGGCCCATGAGATACCATGGTATGGACGCGAGTGTGTCGAGGGCGCCCGAGCCACCGCGGTAGTTGATATCGCCACCTGGTAGGCGTATATTGCTATTATATCAAACGTCAGTGCGTTGTTCAGGAGGGCAGCGTCTCCGACATACCCTGCGCCATGGCCATATTTCCGGTAGTACCACCAGCCGATGAGGCCTGCAAACGCACATGGAATCATCAACATGAATAGCCAGAAGAAGGCACCATGGCTCTTCAAGCCAGGGCAGGCATGTGGCGCTCCCCGGTCAAGACGTGTTCCACCTTCACAGCTGGAGTGCCGGATCTTGCGGTAGGGTGTTCGTTCGTACCAGTAATCCTCGTCATTTCGGCATGAATTATCATCCGGTATCGGCTCTCGGCCCGGCTCCAGGACACAAACTCCTTCCTCATTCCTTCGGTAGTTGAACTCGCTGCACGAATCAGTAATAGTGAGTGCGCAGTGAGCATCCATATTTTACGAAACGCACCATTCAAAGTCTGCGTCAGAACATTGGCAATTGTGAACGACAGTCGCTTGCGCCTTCGGTTGGTTCCCAACAATGCAATCTCTGTCACGCACTCGGCGATGGTAGAGTACCTGTGCATGTTATGTTAAAATTCAGGAGAACAGTACCGAACACTGCTGTGAGCTCACCTGACGGCCAAAGAGACAGAGTTCATTCCGTTCCTCACTTGGGCTCCACAACTCGAAGTCATCATGGCCAGGATCCTCGATATTGAGGACACCTAAAAGAGCTGCCCAGTTAGATCGGCAGGGTTAATGTGTCTACGACTTACACTGGCGGCTTGTCAACGCTGAGAAGTCGATATGTACTGCGACATGTACAGCTGGCGAACGAGGGTAGAAGCCCATGAGGATGAACCGCCTGCTTGTGTCCGATGGTACAGTGACAATCTCCTTGATGCGCATCTTCTCATCTGTAAATTGGTACTCGCGCCAGTTAAGACCTTCGTCTGTGCTGAAGAGGACATGGTCTGTCGGCTGTTCATCGTTGGCAATGATCAAGATTGAGCCAGAATCTCCAAATTCCCAGAGATGAGCATCCTTGTGGATTTCCTCCCACGTGAAGCCAGCGTCGCGACTGAGGAATGTATCGCTCTCAGAGTACTCCGCGAGCGATTCCCCGACGTTCCCTACAGCCATCAAAAGCCCAGGGACTGATGGTGTACTGTAAGTGGCTCTTGCGTCATACCGTTCGGTATAACCGTGGATATGCAACGCGCAACTCTGTGATCAAGATGAGAATGAGACTTGGTGATGCAAGATGATACGCACGACAGTATTGCATTCATAGGAGTTCCCCTGAGAGTCTTTTGCTGGAGGAGTCATCCGCTTCCATGTACCACCTGCCAATGAGCACTTAGCGAATTACCGGAGAACTCACTATCCTGGCGTTCAGAGAGGAGTTACTCACCGTCGTTATGAGTGATTCGGCTTTGAATTTCTTTGCGCCCGCTAATGGACGCTTCGTGAGGATTCGATACAACATTGATTAGGGCAATGCCATCCAAGCCAATCATCTTCTCGAAGTCGACGAAGCCCAGATCATTTCTATTCACGTTCTCGACAGAAACGCCGTAGTAGGTTCCATTCGAATTTGACTTCAATATGGTTCCCCAATAGCTACCTGGGCCTTCATGTGTCGTAACATGAAGGAAAACCGCGTTCGTCGTAGATTCTAGGATAGTATATGCCTAAAGACCCGTCAGTGAACCCTGGCAAACACCGTATACAATCACAATAGCTGACATGTTGGTCTGGTCGCACATCCGAAGGGAACATCCCAGACGCGAACGTCCTCCCATCAAGCGACACCTGTAGGTCAAGCGCTTGTCTTTGCGGCTGGTACTATGGGCAACGTCAGCAATCAGAACCTGTAGCACCTTGAGACGACCTACTTCAGCCACAATTAGGAACTCGTTGAACTTTGCAAAACCAACAACATGGTTGAATAGCTTTGTCTTCTTGGAAAAGTAGTCCGTCCCACCAATCAATTGCAGCGGGTTGTCCATCGCGAAGAAACGCTGGTTGCCTTCCTGGTTCCCATATACCTCGCAGATAATTTGAGCCGGGTCTACCTTCAGCTCGGAGTCTCGCGCCCACGCGCAGTTGCGGACGTATTTCTCGATGAACACCCAGTTGCGCCCATTATCACGCGTGTACCACGCCTCGACGTGGCAGTTTTCACCGAATCCGCTGCACCCCTCGCTGCCGCTCCAGATTAGCCAGTCTGATTTAGCCGGGTGGAAGTGCAAGATCGGCAAGCCGAAGTTGTTTGGAGGTAGCGGACCGGGCATCGAATTCCACGTCTTGCCAGTGTCAGTTGTGTACCAGTAGTTCTTCGAGTTAGTGATGAGATACGCGCGATCAGTGCTATACGTGTGGTGATAGAACACGACAAAGCGCTCTCCGGGAACCACTTGATGCCAGGTGTAACCCTCGTTACTGGATTGCCAGATTGTACCATCGGCGAGGCGGACCAATATCGTCTGCTCGCTTATCAGTCAATGGGGGCGGGATTGAGTCACTTAAACTTACTGTAGACTCCTTGAAGTATGCGAATTGCAAAACAGGGGATTGGAACTCGAACTGTAGACAGAGTCAGCACGAGACCGTCATGAGACAGAATTGAAACACATACAGTTTGATGAATGATTTCGCCCTCTGCGGGTTGAGCTGGATAATGCGAGTGAACCAATTGAACGTAATGGGCGGTCTCTATACGGCTTACCATTGGAGCAAGGCTTGTCAACAGGCGCGTCCTTCACCTTACCACGCGATTTGTCGCAAGTATTCCCAGGAATGAGTCGGAACCCAGATGAGCCTTTGTACGTCTTATCTGGCTCATCAGGTGGACACACGCCGGGGGCAATAGGCTCAGGACCCGCGGGCACGCACTGGTCACCCTGCCGGATGAAGTTGTAATCGCTTGAGGTTTTGCAGTGAGTTTTAGAACGCTTTTGTCTGAACCAGTTGAACGCCTACCATTCGTAGTCCTCGTCCGTGCATGGGCAGTTCTCTTCATGCTCTACAGGGTCGAGGAACTTCTCTCCAACGTAACAGTCGGCTTCGGGCTTGCGCCGTTTGTACCATTGCTGTCTCACATCCATCATCAAGACCGGTTACTATATCGATGCGAAGGTTTATCGCACCTTATGTCCCATGAGACACTCATGTGTCGCCGAGCGAGCATTCCATCGTTCGAAATCATTCTCTCCGCACTTCCGCGTGCGGGTGTTTGCAAAGTCGAGGAAGAGGACAGCATAGCGCCCCTGGTTAGATCCTGGCTCGCGTTTCGAGACAGCCCCGACGATCATGAATTTCTGCGATGTGGAGTCCGAGACAGTCGTCAGGATGCGGACGCGCATTTTCGTTTCGAAGTTGAATGTTTTCCTATGGCGTTTCTCAGTGCTTTTATTAACCGAAGCGTCCGGAAAAGCCTACCATGTCTTGCCAAAGTCCGTCGAGTAACTGACACTATCAGTGACTTCCTCATCGTTTGCGGCCACGATGATGCTCCCTTGATCGCCAAACTCATACTTGTGGGCGTCCATGCGCACCATGCTCCACGTGCGCCCAGCGTCCGTGCTTAAGAATGTGTCGCACTCCTCATACGGGTGCAAGTACTCTCCAATCGAACCCACGCCCATCACGAGCCCCGGTGCGGGCGACGAGAACACGCGTCCAAAGTTATGCGGCACCGTCACGGAGTGCAGGTGCAGCGAGCAGTCTTCGTCGCTTGGGTTACACGCAACACGTGCTCCTTCGCTGTCGTGTGCCGGCGGGCGCAAACGCGACCATGTCCGGCCTTGATTGTGGTAAGTACATATTGAGGTCAGAGAGCGGACTCGACCTACCATCGTCAAACGTGATGCGTGTTCGCAGCTGTTTTACTTCCCGCCTACCTTCGACTTCCTTTGCATTGTCGACGATGTTGGCAAGACCCACGCCCTCGATGCCATACAGATTCTCGTAGTCGACGTAGCCTAGCTCGTTTCGATTTGTGTCCTTCAAGGCTTCGACGAAGAATGTGCCATTCGAGTTGCTCACGAACAGCGTGCCAATCGTCGTCTGGTCTTGTAGCATGACATCCACCGCGAGTGAGTGCGTCGTCGACTCGACAATTGTGTAGCTGTTCTCCCGTAGGCGTGCCGATGACGCGTGCGGGAAGCGCGCCTTTGCCCAGTTCTTGGTGTCTACGGACACGTACAACAACATTTCACCACTATTGCCTGGCGCCAAGTCTCGCATCGCAACTACAGCGAACTTAGACACAATAGCAAGAGCGACGACCCCCTTTGCGTTCTTGCCGATGCCGAGGTCCTCCACCCTCATATCATCGTCAAAGAAGTCGGTGGACGAGAACAGACGACTGGAAGAAAGCGCGTGTACGCCAGTGTTGGAGGTCGAGTCGAACGCCACACAGTAGATCAAGTCTTGGTGGGCGTCGTGCTTGAAGTCCTTGCTGCTATGCGCGAATTGACACCGCGACGTATCGGACAACAATTGCTGTGGTTCGTCACTGAATGCGTCTTTGGTATACCATGTCTAGAATTTGCATCAGTCAATCACGCGCAGCTGTGCTAACAGTGTTCCGTGGAAACCATTGCGGACTTATCTTCCATGAATCCATCTCTGACACTCTGAGAGAGTAGCTCTCCACACGTACAAGCATGTGACTGAGATATTCTCACAGAAGTCTTGAGACAATGTTCATTGTATACAGTGTGCTCCGCAGATATTTCATGGAACGCTGACGCTCAGAAGGTCGGCAACCCACCTCGTCGTAACAAATGGATCCCCATCCGCCACTAGATTCACAACGGGTGCCTTGATAGAGAATGTAGCCATACTTTGCGGGGTCCGAATGGAAGGAGAGAGGTTTCCCAACAAGTGCTGGAGGTATTTCCATCTCGAAGGAGCGCCAGGTCTTGCCGCGGTCTGAGGTCATGTAATGTGATATGCCCCTAGTGAGTATGAAGGCCTGAGAAGCTATAAGTAAGGTGAGGATACGTCTGTAATGCCACGCACGAATCTGTTGTCGAATGGGTGCTCAATAACCATCGAGGCCTTTCCGCTCGGTATCCCCTCCGCCTTGTTCCAGGACTTGCCCTCGTCTTGGGACACATACACGGTTCCTGCCATAGCGTCATGGTAGATAGCAGTCTACGTGCGCTGTGAGCGTCATGTATGATCATACACGTACGCATCATTTCATACCGTCGTGTCTTCGAAGAAGAACAGTCTCGCAGGTAAGTTATCGAAGTATGACACGCTGTACTCTACCTGCTGCGCGCCCACGGAAAGCAGCAAAGCGAAGAGTTGCGCGAGTAGCAGCCCGAGGACTGCCCCGCGGTGAGGAGCCATGGTGGAAGATGAGAAAGTCACTGCGAGTCTGGGAGGTCCAGCGCAGTGCCTCCGACTGCGCGTCCCGCTCAACCCGCCCGTCAGTGACGCGGATCACGTGCTTTCCCTCACGCGCTCCGATTCGGAAGTATGGGCGCTTCGGCAACTGCGCTGTCTCCTTGAGCTATGCCTTTCTGTGAACTGTATCTTGCCTGCTTCATTCATCTATATTTGTGCTCATGCGCAAATATTAGGTCCTCCTATGTGGATTCTACTCAAGTCCTTTGAGCTATGCATCCTTGGGAAGCGCGCTTGGAGGACATCGGCGTCTCTCGTTTTCGAATTCCACGGGTTTAGACTCCATACAACTGTCGAACGGCTTTCCTCGCGGTTCTGGGAAGCGGCGTCAGCAGCGCTCAGACACCAGAATGGGCCCAGGGCGACGCGGCACCAATGTCAATGCCATGCTCCCACAGAATGAGAAGATTCTTGGCGCGCGCCTCCACGTCACACCACCCAACGGAGTCCGCAAAGTCGGAGCTCTGCGAGAAGATGACCTCTCGGATCCTGCTACGGGTCTGGTGGAACCGCCGCCACCGGAAGACGGGCTCCGCCGCGTAGGCTACGAGGCGCGTATTGGCCCGCGAGTGGGGTCGCCTCTGCTTGCGATGTTCGAACGCCTCGGCCAGTGTCTCTGCTCAACCGAATGTAGAAATCATCGAGTTGAGCCGCAGGAACTCGATGATATCGTCTTCAGACCGGCCACCCTGTTCGTGAAGCTGCTACGTGCGGTGATCGTAAGACGGCGCCCGCAGGGGCGGTTCTGGAGCTTTGATTCGGATTCAGTACGGAGACAGCGGCGTCTCGACTAAATCAGCGCTTCCTCGGCTCCCATCAACTCCGGAATGTCTAAGCTTGCAATGACCGCACAAACGACACCACAAAGGTTTGTATATTGATGTATCTCATTTATGTCTCGACATCATGTGCACGTCTCTGACAACACTACCGGTTGACCTATGGAGATGCCCAGGGTAACGGTAGGCTACATACTCTACGCAGGGGTAAGCTGACAATGAGTTGCAACTGCAATAGTCCTTCCGGAGTGTCGGAATGTTACTTGGCCTCTATGAGTAATGAGTAAATGTCGACACTTTGCTCAAACCTCTGCGGGGTCTGAACATCTGTATCATCAAGGTACTCGGCGCTCGCTCAGTGCCACCATCCTCTCAGAAGCTTGGTAATGCCGCGTTGCCTGGTCATCATACAGATTACTGCCTGGATCTCACTTCATCTTCGATTGTCATCTCTCAGTTATACGCTCATCTTCCATGACAGATGCTAGCCACGCTGTCCAAGCAACATTCAGTGTCGTGGACCCTACCTTTGTGATCCTCGAGCTCAACGCTGTACAAACTCATGATGTACCAGGTGATACCTCCCCAACATATATCAAATTCATCATCTCACCGCATAGTACATCAAGATGCGTTCCTTACTCAGAATTAATACCAGTCTCGGTCCGTTCACAGTGTACCTGCGATGTGAACTGCTATGATTTGCAAATTTCGACTTATATCAGACCTGTGCGGGATCGAGCAATTCGTACCCGTGGCATCTAGATCTTACTTTACAGCATCTTAGCAAGTGGTTCGTTGCCTCGTGTATGCGAATTGACCGGTCTCGACTCCCTATTACTTTCCCAGTGTATCGCACTTAGATGTGAACATCGACTCATGTGCACACCGCCGCTCTTCACTGGACAGCACGGTCCACGCTAAACATCCCGGTAAAGTATAGTGTCTGTTAGTACCGAGCGTTGTTTCAATGACGGGGAGTAATTATCGTTAGATGCACATGATCGCTGACGCGACGTTTGCGGAACGATAATTCAACTGAACCGGGTTTGAGGTTCTTTCATCTTTGACCCTGCAACACTTCCCTTTCGCTTGACTCGTTGAAACGGTCTACGTGGCCACGGAGCAATCGACCTTGGCTCTATCCGCGTCTCTTTGCGACACACTTGATCATTACCGTGAGGTCCTGTGACTGCGTTTGATTCATGTAGGCCTATAGCTGGCTTGGCAGCTCATAGCCGTAACGCTCACCCGAAGCATCTGCGCTCCGGGAACCCACTAGCAATCTCTAACGGCGACGGTCATTGACACGTAAACCGCCATTTATACGGAGAATCAGACCCTCCGGAAAGGCCCATGGTCATGGCGAAGCCGGCGTTCCTGGGTTACCGCTCAACACAATTGCATCAGGCGCCGAACTAGCACGGGAATCCTGCGGCAAGCTACAAAGGAGCCTCTCCGCCGATACGGCAAATGGAATTCGAGAACGTATCTCGATTAACAGCTGAAGTGAACTCTGACTTCATCCTGTACGCTCAAAGAATCACTTATCTGCCATTGTCCATCCCGAGCTGTATATACCCATCATTGATGAACAACGCCTCGCAATCCACACAACAGATGTTACGCCACGCTGTCATGGGAGATAGACTTTCCGTCTAGTGCTTGTGAGATCTCAAGTTCAAGCTTTCAATATGACGGAACTCAGTTGCCTGAGCCTTCTGATAGGGAGAACCTGTCTTCTCAACGCGCGGCATTGGACTTCCTTGTAAGTACAGCGCCTGTGAGCCTGAACACTCACCCATGATACTCTCCTATAGACGCCTTGCACAATCATCAGCTCAGCTCAGCCCCGAATTTCTACATTTGCGCGTTCATGTCCGTCGTCTTCGGCTTCGACCTCTTTGATATGGGTGTTGGCAAGGTTGCGGTCATGCTAGGAACCGTGACCAACCCTGAGTGGTTTTCCTATTACTCAAGGTAAGTGATTGTAAGCGCGACCAAGACACACATGAGGTAATAGTCCATTGCCTTCATCGCAACCGTACATCGCGAACCAGTATGTTGATTTTCCTGTGAACCAGTGAGCGGGCATACCGGGGAAACCGAGATTTCTGGTTGCATTTAGGTTGACTGCGTTGTAGGTGTGCATTTATTCACAACATGGCTCTGGAAGTCCTATGAGAACCGGGTTTCTCCGAGATATGCTGGACTTAGATGAAACTCGCACGGAGGCCCTTACGACATCAGATCTCTGTGTGGTACCGATTAATTGCCGGTGGACCACACGGACGGCACCCTACACACGATTCGAGTCACGATGATAGGAACTAACAGTATACCGATCAATTAGGTCCGATGTGAGTTGACTCCAAGATCTGGGTGCGACTCTCAATTGATACGGTTGATAGGCGTGCGCTGGTGGTAGTACACTGTGACGGCCTGAATCTCTACAGCTGTAACATATAGAATATGGAGAGTCGGAGTCTCCGAAGTCCATGGCATCAAATGTGGCGATTACAGAATATGCTGACGTGGCAATCATACTCTGTTTTTATTATTATCTGAATTCCACGGGTTAAGACTCCATACGGCGTAGATACATGTAGAGTGAGATCGAGCCGTAGTGGCAATCATACTCGCTCCTAGAGCTTTTAACTGGTCTGAGTTCAATTAGCATCTGGCACGCACCAAGTGATGATTAAGAGAGATGACCGCGTTGACATTCTTCTTTTGTGATGATGTCGCTCCACCTTGCCTGTGGGCGTATGTGGATGCCAAACGGGGTAATAGTTGCGGTGATAGGCGTCGACTACCACATCAATTTAGGACAAGGCTTTGTTCGCCTTGAGCCAGGGGTCTACTGTACATGTGCGCTCTTCTTGAATACAATGGACCAATTGGTCACCAACATTCTACTATTACAGGGTGGCTACTCGCCGGGTGAATCAAACAATACAGACATTTAGTGCAATCATTCCAAAAGCATCACGTCTATAACCTTGCATTGATACCGACTCGAATGATCCTATGCGCGACAGTGGCTCAGGGAGATCAAAATCAAATGAGTCTCGAGAGTACGCACTGATCATTCGAGGTAATCCAGTTTTCTGTCTCAGGGAACATGATCGCTAACTCAGCATTAGTGTCCACCGCTGTCCTTCAATCGTGTTGGGTCTCACCGAATCGACGGTATATGTCCTCTATCAAGAGGCTCCTGACCCAGTTGAAGATTTTGGAGAGCCTTCCGGCTTTGACTTCTCTACTAATCACATGATAATGGGGCACGCTATATAGTGTTGTCAGCGGTGCATATTGCAGATTGGAAGTATCATAACGTACATATGAACGTAGTTCTTTGCTACCGTTTTGATCTCGTCGATGATCATAGAAGATTCCCGTGGATCGGCGCGTGCCTCAATTGCGCAGATGCGCTCCACTACTTCGTCGATCTTACGAAAAAGGTCAGCCGTCCGCTAATGAGTGACATGACATAACACCCACCTTCATATCGAAGTCATCGCGATAGCCTACGAAGTAGGTGACACCGTAGAAACCTGCCATGGATGAGTTCAGGTCACTGTAGTCGGACAGTTATGACTAACCTTGTATGGTCCGCACTTTGGTCACGGCATAACGATCTTCCGGTGGCATATGGGCGATGGGCAGCACGCGAACAGCCAGAAATATCTACGCGGTGCGTATAAAACAATCAAAATACTGCTTCTTCATGGCAACTCTTTTACTGACGACGACACGGGGCAATGCCGGCCATTGACGTAAAAATCCTGATGTTGAGGGAACCAGTTGTGAGCAGAGAACTCCCATATTCTGTGTTTACGCACCGATGAATGAGTGGGGAACACCTCTTCCCACCGTAAGTTTGTGGAAGACTGCACATGTCTGAATGCGCGCTAGCGGCCTGTGCGTGGCACCGGAGCCTTGGCCGGCATCATCGAGGATGTAGAATGTCTCCGGATCAACTGCAGTGGCATGCTCGCGCTCTTCTTCGACCTCTAGATCCTCGGAGTCACGGCCTGATGCATCGTCCCCTTCGGATAACTCAATTTCCTTGGAATGCTTCAAGTCGACAGGTCTGCGGATTTGCAGCTCAGATCGATCCCGCTCAGTGAAAATGACATGGCGAAGGTTCATCCGATTGGAGCTGTCGTAGCTGTCCTCCAACCCCTAGATGTACGAAGAATAAGATGAGTTGTCGACAATCTGCACATATACATACACGAGCCCATGTCCAGAAAAGCATGAAGGCCACTCTGGAACAGATAGGTTAATGTGCAGAAAAAGCAATGATTCAACCAAGTATCATACAGTATGAGTCCCATCATCAGTGGTACCCACGCTCCATCGGGGACTTTGCGAAGGGATGCGCCCCAAAACAGACCTGAAGACGGGTCAGCGTCGATGTTGGCTTGGTTGGGATACACTTTACCGTCGAGGAAACCAAAGAATAACAGAAACGCAACAGCCACAATAACGGACAGGTTTTTCACATATTTGATCTGCAGCGCGATCAAGAGCGTAGTGGTGAACATCACTGTTGCAACGGCGAACCTGGCCGTGTATCAGGAAAGACAATATGAGACAAAGCTCCGGTACTGCACCCATATGCGTTCGTGAGAGAAACAGAACTCTTGAATGCAACGACCATAATGATAACGAGAATCATCACTGGATGGCAAATGGTCAACATCTACTCGTGTGCTCAGTGCTCAAACCTACGAATCCAATTCACAACGGGTATATAGACTTGACCTTGCGTCTTGTTAGACGTATATACCATGCGGAGACTACAGAGTTTATGGCACCTCTTTACATTAGCAGAAAAGCCTGACGCACTGAGGAAGACTATGCATGTTAATAAGCTGCTGCACCAAGCTGAAAGTGGCCGTAATGAGGGCTTGCGACGCGATTAACTGCTCGACGAATCAGCACTGGAGATAACCTGAGAATAGAAGGAAGTACCGTGGCTAGGATGGCGAAGACATAAAGAATCCTACCATAGAATGTAAGGATCAATGATACACGTCGACCTGGAGCGCATTCGTACCAGAACAACGGCCCGTTGGGACGCCCTGGGATGGAGTTATAGAATATGTTGGTCAAGATATGTTCTCCATCGACGATCAGTCGAGCCCCTTGGCCTAGGTATTGCAGAATGAGGCAGGGGTAGACGAAACACGTGAAAGAAATCTTCAGCGTCCGTCAGAAAATGCCTATGGAGAATAGGATTTGCCACAATACCTGTATAGATTGCATATTGAATTGCCCTAGACTGAATGAAAATGAATGAGCGACGCATGTTTTGCGGGGGTGCATTATTCTCCAGCCACGTGGACTGACACTCACTTAGCAAAGAGTGCTTCACAACCAGTAACCGCCAGCAGCACACCGCTCAATAGGTCATAGTCCCGGGTGCGCACGAAAACTGTATTGGATAATTGGTTCAGCAAATCCGTAATTCAGAGTGCATGCCGTACGCATTATCGCTCTAGATGGGTCGAGCGCTCTAAATATGCCAGGATGACGGATGATATTCACGATGCCGGTAGCGCCCAAGAGAGAGAGCCAAATCAATGTCACTTCGTTTGCGTCAGTGCGGGATGAAAATACGTTCGACAGCATAAATGGCGTACCTGGTGCGAACACATAAGCCAATCTTGCTGTTCCGCGGAATTGGACAAGAAACAGAGCAACCAAAAAGGCCTGAAGGCTCCGGGTGAGTGGGCCGGCTTCGCGTGATAGCCTCAAGACACCTACGACGGATATCGGAACGACATCATTCCCGACAGAAGGTCGGGCAATAGCAATCCCCGATACAGCGCTCGTCACTGATACGGCAGGCGTGAATACTCCATCGGACAACGTGAGACTCGTCCCGAGCAGGGACTAAACATAACGTTAGTGGTGCAAGACGAACAAGCGTGTTTCCAATACTAAATCGGTACATACGCATGCAAGCAAGGGCCAACGAAGCCTGTGCGAGATCGCATGCCCCTGTCTCTTGTTGGAAAACTTGAAGCTGTCTCCCGTGAGAGTCCTATCCGCGTCAAAGTCCTTCTGCTCTGGAGGATAGAGCCCTTGGAACAGAGCGAAAGTGCCACCTTCGCCTGTAGAAACATCAGAAGGAGACTCCGGCCTTGTAATGAGGCCGCGATGGTACCTTCTCCGGTACCGAATCTTAAACAAATGACGACCTGAGAAACGGTGAGAAACGAGGGCCCCTAGCCGTTTCAGTCGGCCTACATATTTTAGCAGCGGTAGCAGTGTCAGAGACCACACAATCGCGCTCAGTCCACCGATGACGTCTTCCTCGGACGGGAGTTTACCGGACGCAGGCCAGATGCCGTTAAGCACATACAACGGAGACGTTCCGATGTCAGAATATATGATGCCTGACGAACAATGAGCGAGATGGTTGTGAACCATCGGACGTTATCACCCACCCAATGTCTGAAAGCTCAACGTAAGCAGAGCGAACCCACGAACATCCAGACTTTGACGTTTCGTTTTGGTTGCATCCTCTCCTGTCGGTGACATGCGATTCTATAGGATGAGGCTGAGCTCGTCAGACAACGAAATGGCTGGGAGTAGGAGTGGGGGGGGATCAGAGGAGCCGCAGAAGATAAGGAGTTCAAAGTCATTATATCACATCATGGAGACGTCTCCGAGCCGCGGGTCTGCAAAATTCGCGCCCAACGACGCAGAGACCTCCAGAGACGCTGCGCCATGCCAGCTCGGGCTTCGGATCCTGCGCGGGTGAAGGATAAATTCGTGATTGTGGCCTGTGGAGGAATAGCAGATATCCCTCACACGTTTCTGGAAAGTTTAGGATAATATAAGCGCCGGAATCTGAGTATAGACGAGAGCCGGAATGGGCCTGCGCGAATTTGGCCATAGGTATTGTGGCCCCTGACTTGTTATAGAAGTGAGCTCGTTTTTCTTGCGACCCGGAGTGGCTGAACTCGAGCGCAAAGACCTACCTTTCCGGATGTCAATCAGCCAAGATGTTCAAAAGGTACGAGCGCTTACTATGATCGAACAGCCTGAGATCGACGATTAGAGAACATGGATTGAACAAAGACAGCCTCCTTGTGAATTGTCTTTCTAGTCAGGGACTTACTGCAGTCGATAAATACCATATTATTGAGTTGCAGTGGTCTGATAAGTACACGCGGCTCGCATCGCGTCTGTGTCGAAGTCTCCCCTCATTCATACCGCGGAAACGGCTGAGGTATCTGCTGCGTACATAGACTGACTTTGTCTGAGTACAGTCGTTACGCCGCTGAAACGGCTGAGACTAGTTGTGAAATGTTCGTATGTTCATACTGAAAAACTGCGATTGTAGTATGCTCGCGCCTAACCTACGCGTATATGTTCAATATTACTATTGTCCTAAGAATGTCATTCGGATACCTTCCTATCAGTTGCAAGGAATGAGAGTATCCTTATTGGCTTCGGAAATCTTTATACTGAAGCGTCCTGCGATACCACACGGTGTTAAAATCCCCCTAATGTACTGTAACGTATCCTCCCCTATGACGCCACATCAGTATGAGCGTTGCTGCATGGCGCCAAATGTCCTCTGAAAGGGTCAGCCCAGTGCAGCTGGGCCTTTCACAGGCACACGCTGTCGCACACACGTAGCTCACACTTACACAAGCTCCCTGCTCCGTATCATGCGTCCTGGTATGTCACCTCGAAGATCGGCCGCGCTGCAAGTTTCGGCAGCTTCTTCGTGACCCTATTCTTTACCCGGTCCTCTTGAGAGTCGTCCACCGGTTCGCCATACTTGCGACGCTGCAAAATGCCCAGCTCGACCTTCTGGAGGCTGCTCAGCTGTTCGCTGGCGAGGGCAGAATCAATCACATCCCATTTGATACGATCAAGCTGGTCATCCACGAGCACTTCCATGTAGATCGCAACATGCCTCAGCTGAGTTGAGGAAATAGGTCCGATGAGATCCGAAATCCACGACAGATCTTCGACTTCAAAAGGTTCTAGGCGAAGCAGAAGCCGCAATGACCTCAGGCCCGAGTTGTAGCCCAGATTGAGGAACTGATTGAGCGGACCTACGTAGATTCATTCAGCGCATACTGCGACCGCAGCTAGACTCATGCTGCTCACCCTTATCCGCGAGCGCATCCGGAATGCGGTTGTCCATCGTGATCGAAAGAGTTTTCAAAGATGGCCCAGCGCGCTCGAGGAGTTGTCCCAGTTCGGCCGGATCCTCGCAACCCCACGAGAAATGCATGTTCTCAATCGCGATGTGCTCGTAACTCCTCGCCCACCTTGCCACGATGCTCGGCATCGTGCAGAGATCTCCGACGTCCAACCACTGCAGGCGCAGCTCCTTTCTCGATCCGTCCTGCACCACTATCGTCTCCTCCATGCTTACCATCGCCATCGCCTCCATGCGCACGCATTCGATCCGAGGAAAGGCCTGCAGAAGGCTGACTAGCTGCGAAGGTCTCCTAAAGTCGCATGTCGACATCCACAGGTCCTTGACGAGGGGATAGTGATTGAGAAGTAGCGCCTGGATCTCCGCTCCCAGATCCTGCCAGATGATCGCGTCCAGCGAGAGCCGCTCGATCTTGGTCAATAGCCTCAACAAGTCGCGCGCGTTGTCAATCCACGGGTGTGGTGCCGGGAGCCCATCGCCCAGTACATCGCATGCGTCAATGCTTAGGCTGCGCACATACCCCGCAAGTCCCCATGCCGGCGAGTACAGCTCGGTGAGGCGTGGGAGATTACTGGTGCAATCTATCCGGACGGCGGCGTGAATGTGATAGCGGCTGCGATGGAGCCAGTCGCGACATGTCAGAGCACATGCGGCGAGGGTCGAGCGCTGGTATGTAGACCCCAGTTCGTCGATGATCAAGTCTGATATCTCGAGGGGTACCTTGGGAAGTAGATGCTGGGTGCCACCGCCTTTGAGTGTTCGTGGGCGACCTGCTCGATTGTCTGGAGAGGTGGCTGTAGTGTCCTTCAAGTTAATCCACAGGCTCTCGGCGATACCGTACGAGACGTTATGACATTACCGGACTTCACATCTTCGTTGTTCATATCCGCACGAAGAGGATGCGCGGGTCATCGAATCAACGGAGGAAGCTCAAGGAGAGGCAAGAGGGGCAAAGGCCGGGGAGGAGGAGTTGATTTGTGGACACATAAAAGGTGGTTGGTTATATACAACTGGCAGCACTCGCCGTGATGCAATATAGGCTCTAGCGAAGACTATCCGTGTGACGTGAAATTGAGAATTCATCATCATATCCGTGTGACGTGACACTCCTCTATTGAACCACATTTCCCACGCTCATAGAGTGTCCGGTGGCCGAGATTCATTGGCACTTCTCACGACATTTGAGCGAAAAGTCCACATGTAGATTTGACGTAGAGCGTGCCCGGATTTGGCTCGGGGGTTACCCCAACAGTTGCACCCACGGGTGACCGTCGTGGTTGAAGCTGTTGAAAACTCACGGCTGCATCGTGGTGGTGTCTGCATGTCATTTCCTGTTGTTTTCCTTGGGCACAAGTTAGTCAGATAAACTTACTGCATACAAACTGGCTCCAGCTTGACTGATGAAGCTGTCATCGGCGCACGAAAAAAACCCCACGACTCAAAGTTGTTGATCCATGTTCCCATGACTTCCGGATCCTCTTCAAGACGGCGAAGAACCGTCGGCTGACAAATAAAGGGGTTTGTCTTGTACCGTGTAGTTTGTTGTCATCTCATTGGTCCCCTTCAGCAATTAAATTGTGCAAATTGCGCGCACAATGCGTCTGTAAGTTGTCAACCGGTCCACAATGCGGTAATCGCTCCATGCTCCACATTCTTGCGGCCTGCACGGAAGGAAATTGACGCCACGGCTCGAGCTGGTCGTACAGTACGGAAGAATGCCTAGTCAATCTTCGGAAACTGGGTCATTTTACTCTTCTGTCATAAAATTTCAGTGCTGTGCTCCAAACCTGAGCCAACGTGTGGGACCACGGTTCCTGCCGACATAATGCAAAGCGGTAAACGACTCACGGATATTATCGGAAGTGAAGACGGCGTTGTGTCTGGGCGAGGTAGTGACGCCGCATCGCGAAGCTTTGTTGACCCGATCTAAAGCAAGAATTTGCAGTCGGGTCAAGGATGGTCACCTCTGTCACTGGGCGTTGATCTCCTCGTGAACATATGCTACATAGCAAATGTAGTCCTAATACTCTATATGTAGGTGTTGCCAAATTCACATAGAGTATATTCTCGATCCAGAAGCATTCACTTCGACAGGATGATAACGTGCGAGACGAATTTGATATTACATAGCAGAACCTCCCATTACTCTTTCAATAGTAGACACGAGGGATACGCAACGTAAGAGCAGTGACATGTCATCAAAACTGGCAGTGCAAGAACCATCGCTCCCGCGCACCTCAAATACCGGTACATCCATTGCCGATTGACCGCGATGAGCTTGAGTCGAATCAACAATGACAGTATTCTATCGCAAGGGCGAGTGAGGCCTAGATTTGAGGAAAGGAGAACACGTGTATTTGTAACACACGCCTTGGCCATCACACCACACCATTGGTAGTGTAATCCCGAGATTTGAACCCTCTGCTTAATTTGCTGCGCAAACCTGCAAACTTGGAATAGAAGGCAGCCGTTGCACATGTGTTGGCGCGTGGACATGCATTGAACCGGGGTCGTTCACTCGGGCGGTTTGGAACCGACGTAGCTGGAGTGACGATAGACTCGGTCGCTGAGAAGTCGTATCGTTTAGACGCCCAAGATCCGTATGACCGCCCGAGGTGCCTCCTGAAATCCGCTTTTCTTCGGGAATAAGCGACTGTGAAAGAAGCGTGCGAGAGCCTGCGAGTAGCGTCTTTCAGATGGCAGGGTGGGCGCTTAGCGCCGCGCACTCGCGGGCGCTTCAACGGACACAAGGAGACTTGTCTACTCCGCGTGAGGTCAAAGAGACGCTGGAAAAGAATCCAATAGACGCCCTATATTGCTCAGAATGTCGCGTAAGTACCACATACCCGCACTCCGCCACATCGCCATTGTTTTTAGTGTTCCAGGGCATACTGTGAAGGTTGTCAGATGCTCTTGACCGAACGGCACCCAGGATCCGTCCAAAAATATGTGATCCGGCCGCAGGACGCACGCAACGTTCACCTGCGGTCATACTCACCTACGACACAAGACGCTGAGGGAAAAGAAGATCGGACATGAGAATGCGGGACGCCTACCATGGGATCCGCTCGGCGTCATGAGTGTGGGACTGCAATTCGCGGGAACACGTAGGTCAAGTGGGTCTCACCTGAGAGGAGCAGAGTTAGAGAGCTGGGCGAAACGCTGGTGGGAGGGAGGTAGCCATGGTAGCCATCTCGTGGGTCGCATTTAACAGCACTTGTTGAGTATCCTTGGGACCATCATTAGACCGTGAGACCATGGAACCCATAAGTACTTACGGGTATCTAGCCCCAAGCTGATCGCCGTGTTGAACACTGTTTCTTCAAGGAACGACGAGCCACAAGTCTCGACGCTGCTCCAAGGCCCACAAACGCTTCTTCAGAGTGTGGAAATTACACTTAAATCATTGCGCAGCGTATGTTCTCCACACTTCGACAGAATATCCGAGAGACTGGCGTAACGCAAAAAATGCGGCTCCATTCCCGCTTCACGGATGTTGCGGTCTCTCACGGAGTTAGCACACAGCACCACAATCGTGACGTGGTGACGCACCCATGCAATGCAGAGTTCGAGCAGCACTTGCTTATACCGATGGTTATTTGGCAATCGTGCGTGCCGCAGTTCGAGGCAGTGAGCTGCCAGCTGTGTATACTTTATGAGAAAGGCATAAGACCCCGGAGCGAGAGAATCACGAGGAAATTGTTAATTGAGATTCACGATTGCGTTGGCCCAACGCTGAGTGTCGAACATATGTGTCAGCGCGGTAATCAGCCATGTCAGCGCGGTAATCAGCCATAGGCCGCCGGATATCAGAATACCAAGATTCTAAACCACGGGCGCAAACCCGTTTTATCAAGATCGGGCGAGAGGATGAGCGGGACATATAACAAACCGCATTCTGATAGGCTTTCGGGATCAGTCGCCATGAACGGGTCAAAACTTGTACGTCACAGTACGTGAGCGAGCGTATCGCCTGGAACCAAAAAATGCGGGCAAAGCCCGAGGTTGATCAATCTAGAACCTATGATAGCAACTCTTAAGACGTACAAACCAATGCCGTACGAGCATCAAGCCTGGTATTCCCTCTTGGTCAAAGATACATTCTCCGGATTGTGGCTGAGGCAGCTTCTTTACGTTGAGATCATCCGTCCCGGATCGCAGCATGAATGCACTGACGCATGCAATCAAGGCGTATGTACGGGATCCACTGGCAACGCATGCCAAAAGGGTCATAGAGCAAGCGTCCTGCTAGTAACATACGTGGTGATACGCGCTCGGCAGAGCATGTAATGGAATATGTTATGGGATAGGATGGAAGTCGCATGGGCTTCGAGGTCCATGACACATGATGTATCTTTCACATCTCTTGCCTTGCTTTTACACAGATGTGATGTTCTATGCAGCCCCAATTCGCGTGTTGTCATCGAATTTGACCATTTCCATTGCACAGATCGTGGGTGGTCCCTGATGGCTTTTGCCGAGCGCATCTGGCTACAAGCATTTTGGCATAGGATTGTATGCCATGACTGCTAAGAAGACGCTGAGGGCCTCAGTAAAGTAATTTGTGAGCATTTTAAGAGGATATGCGCACGTACATGCGCACAGCGTTCTAGCAGTGACTATCAAATAGCAGACAGCTGCGATAGACGATAATGGTGCAAGGAGCAGCGAGCTGTCAGAACATGGATCGCATTTGCGCCCTGACAAGTTTCTTGATAAATAAGGAAATCACTCTCGATGGTACACAGAAAGGCGAAGACAAGCACAAGCCAACGGTCGACAAAGTTGGACGCATGAAGCTGGCGATCAGGCGGTGAAAGGCAGTACGTAAGGAGCGCTTACCCAAGTGTGCTTAGACTTACATAGTACATAACCAATTTATATAAGATATCCGCGGCTTTATTCTACTTGGTCTGACGGAACTCACACGCTCTTAGATGTAGGGTTTTACAAAACACCCCGACGTTTCAACTCCGCAGCGCAGCCAAACCGTTTTTTCTTCTGGAATCGGCAAGAGAGAGATTCTTCGCCGCGGCAGCCGAGGCTGCACTGCCCAGAATTATTCTGAATCACATCGCGAGTAACACGCGGTTCGAGCGACCAACTCAAGAACGCAAAAGCTCCAGCACTCAGCGCAGTTGTATCCGAAATGAAACAAGGCTGACGATGATTCAAAACTGAATCTGCTTGCTGAAGTGTACAGCACGCCCAGACATATCTGGTAGTTAAAGTCAGACAAGTGGACACTGCAGTATGTCACCCTGTGAGTCTCAAACCCCGCTGAAAAGTATCTCGTGATTCGTGAAGGCAGGGGGGTTGCGGGACATAGATTTAAAACGCCTGACGTGTAATGATGATGGGGGCGTCAGTGGTGCGTTATGGATGTCAATGTTGCCATATGGATAACGAACGTTACATCATCGACTACAGCACTAGACTGCACGCTAAGGTTCGCGCTCAGCATCCCCGGGAATGATCGGACATCGAACTGTCAGAATACACCGCCTATCATTGAAGTCTGAATTAAAGATTGGCCATACCATACGAAACACTTTCTGTGACTCCCTCATTGAGTTACGTCGTACTGACGACCGGAGGGCATTCATTTATCGACGGTCAAATTGTGAAATGAGGGGGATGCGACCTTGGTTCACCGCTTACACATGTGAACAGGTCGACGCCTGAGGGCCCACGCATGCATGTAAGACAATCCAGAGGCACTTGATCCTTTCATTCCTTAATGATACTGATAGATTGATTTCGACCAAAAATTACACCCATGCGACTCAGGTAGGGAACAGGTTGTCCTCCAGCCGGGTCATGCCGAGGCTGAGCCGCCTGCAGGACAACTGGTGTCACCGCTATCCGAATGAAAGGTAAGCTCCCCTCCGAATATCCGCTTTATTCCAACAATCTCTAATCGCGCTCTGACCTCAAGCTGGGGCAGGAACATCTCTCGCTCTTTCCCGGGCCAGCTACAGGGCAGACCCCAACGACCACAGACGGAAGATTATCGTCAAAAATCCGACACGATACACTTCATGTATCTTGTTCTTCGAATACCGTCGTGACTGTGCGGCGGCCCATGAGCTTGGGAAGCTTCTCCGCCATCCAGTCCCTAGGAAACGCTGACGTCTCGTCGCTTTCATGAGGCTTGCGAGGCCGCAATATACACAATGTGACATCCGTCAGTCCTTCCAACAGTTTGTTAGAGAGCGCAGTGTCTATAGTGTCCCATTCGATATGAATCAAGTGGTCTACTCGCAGAACCGCCATGTAAATTGCGATGTGACTGAGATGTCTCGATGTAACAGACTTGAGGGTATCCGAAATCCAAGACAAGTTTGGGATGTCGCATGATTCGAGGCGGAGATATAATTTCAGTGAGTGGATTCCAGTATTTTGGCTGAGGTTGATGTGGTTGCGCACGGAGCCTGTAGAGGCTACTTGAGCGACGTGCTGAAAGCCGAAGCCAGTTACTGAACTCACCTGAACCGACTAGGTGACTTGTGATACAACTGTCCAAGGTAAGAGAAAGTGTCTTGACGGATGCACCGGCACATCCAAGTAGACAGCTCAAATCTTTGGGATCCTCATGGCTCCAGGAGATATGAATATTCTCGATGGAAAGATTTCCATAACTGCTAGCCCACTTTGTTACAACGCTGGGCATGGTGCATACGTCTCCGACGTCCAGCCACTGCAAATGCAACTTGGATCCGGTATTGTCTCCCATCAACTCCCATTCCACTGTGTCCGTTATTAATGCCTCCATGCGAATGCTCTTGATGTTAGGAAATGCCTGCAAGAGGGTGACTAGATGCCTAGGGTGTCTAAAATCGCAGGTTGACGTCCACAGATCATCGACCATTGGGTAGTTCGTGAGAATGGTAGTTTTTGTCTCGTCCGTTAAATCATTCCAGCTAAGTCCATCCAATGCAAGCCGCTTCACCTTGGTGAAGTGCTTCAAGAGTGCGATATTGTCGGCGATCCATGGATGAGGAGCGGGCAAACCATCGCCCTGCATATCGCAGGCATCAATGCTCAGACTCCTGACGTAGTTGGCGAGTCCCCGTTCTGGCGAGTACAGTTCCTTGAGTCTCGAGAAATTGCTAGAGCTGTCGATTCTGACGGAGGAATGTATGTGGAACCGACTCCGATGTACCCACGCGTGACATGTCAGGGAGCACGCGGCGAGTGTGGCGTGGTCATAATCCTCCCCCAATGCGTCGATGAACATGTCCGAGATTTCTGGGGGGAAAATCGGACCCTTGTGTTCACCAAAATTGAAGGTGTCTGAACATATTACTCCTACGATGGTAGATTCAGCTATTGGGATATCTGAGGCGAAGGTCCTCCAGAGCATCAGCTAAAATTATTGCAATTATACGAGTGTACAGATAACTCACCGCTTCGTAGGTCAGGTTCCGACATATCAATTTAAGATTCTTAGATGAGCTGTTGGATATATGGATGTGTGAGGGCACCGGGTGCAAACGCAACAAGGCGATGGGTAATTATACTACTATCTCAGGGTCTTTATGAGTGGTTTGAGTTGAGATCGAAGATGTCAATCCGGAGTTTAAAATTTACATATATACGCTCACTTATGCTTCAGCCGATGAGATAAGCTCGCACCACAACGTCTTGGCAGGTTGGATCATGACCACAATGATCGTATGGAGCGCGTATTGCTATTAAATACACAAGAAGCCGGGCTTATCCCTATGCCACGTATTTGGCGAGGCTGCCAGCACCGAGGCATGGTAATGTGGCACCTTCCTGTCGAGAGTGGCGAAGGTAGGACTGTTGGCAGTCCGTGAAGGTCTCTGCTCTGACGTCAAGCTCACACGGAAGATCTGATTAGATTAGATAACAACCGTATATATATGGCTCCTTTTTTCACCCCCGTCATCATACATTTCGCTCGCGTTCGTCGTCTGTCGCTCGTTGGTTCGATGCTGTGCTGTCTACCTTGCAGAGCGCCGTTCAGTTGAATCGCCCACACGGACACGATATTACATTAAGGCTAGAAATTAGGCCTTCGTATCTGAGCAAGACAGTGAAATGTTCACAGGATCCCTTTTTTGCACACAAAATGAATCATGATGTCCTCCCGAGTAGTCGAAAAATTAACTGTTAGGACGCAATCGCGATGTGAGTATCCATGCAGCTTCGTTCGGGATTAAATTTGGAGCGGCCGATGACTGTGACTGTGAGAAGAGTGTGGTCCGATCTATACCGCAAAGTTCATGGTTGCATCAAGAATGCATTGCGGCTATTGCAAGCTGATGACTACTCCTTCCTAAGGTGGTGGCAGAACAGGCTGCTATCTCGGCTCGACATCATTTCGCATAAAGGAAATGTGTCAGTCCACGATTAGTAGGGATCATCGCCGCTGCTAACTAAGCGGTGGCATTATATTGGGATATACGGTGAGGCTGCAGTGATACCCATGACGGCCCTGTCTGCGGAATCGATAGTGATTTGGATATACATGAGATAAGGTCGCCATATAGGAAGTCCGGGCCTCATTTTGGCGAGCCCAGATATGATCAGCTGGCCAGGCCACGATATTTCGGTGCCACGACGTGTCCGGAGAAAGAACGAGGTGATATGAATCCAGGATGATAATGGTGAGCCTTCTTCCGTCCGCCTCCTGAGACACAGAAGCGTCCCATGGGCTATGAATGGAATGGTGTACGCTCTGAACCACATACACGAGAGAGATCAACGACTGGCCACGAGCAGACACCAAACGCCCATCTACTCACATGCATGTGCCTCACCGCATTCACAATTGTGAAACAGAAGATACTCAGCCCTAATATCAAATATATCGGAGCGATGTGCGTGCCATGAACAATGACACCGTCGCAATGAAGGCATCAATCCCTGCTACACATAGCACGTACAGTCCAGAAGCCGACAGGACTCTTTCAGTACGCTAACCGCATTTGCGGAGATACGATCATGTCAACATCGCACCTGAGCCTCCCGTTTGCAAAGTGCGCCCAGCATGAAATCGGCATAACTTCACGACCACACTACACCATCAGAACCGCAGAGTGTGGTACGCAACCGACGAGAGACATCGAATTCGGCCACCTGTAATGTGGACATGGCCTAGGTGTGCTCCCGAAGGACCCGTGACGAACGAAACACAACACGTACTGCAATAATAGATCGAGAAGGCGTGCCAGATATTGTGGAATGTGACTTGAAACGTCCCACTTGCATTCCAGGGGTACACTGTTCGCCGAACAAACCCAAGTGCCAAAGCGCGAGGTGAACTGACGTACCGGAGCCCGCGCTAAGTGGTAACAGCGTTCGGCGAACACTTGTTTAGAGCGGATGTAGCACGAACCGCGCGCTATGGCTCTGCGACTGATACGTTCACAGGGAACGGTGCACAGACGAGTTCATGTCAACTCAGACTAAAAGACACCTCAGTCTCGACGTCCGACTCGGAGTGCTAGATCGAAAATGGCAACGCACGTTAATCTCTTGGGCGTCTTACGATTTTCTTGCAGGTTCAAAACTGAACAGAGACTTGGCGTCAGGGCGGAGCGTCTGTAGAGTCCACAAGCCGCCCAAAGTTGGTCAGGCTGGACATTGAGATAACGATCGATATTACTTCTGGCTAGGGTCTGCTGTGTGGTCACTGGCACGTTTCAACAGTGTAGAGCGCAAGACGCATGCATCAGCGGGTTCGGCAAGCCGAGTGTAAGCCGCGCTACTGAGCGAGCGCTGTGGTAGATATCCACACTTATATTGTTCGCAGCAACTCTGCAAGAGCTGAACTGCGCATAGGGCGTGTGTGCAGAAGGCGTACATCCTAGGATCGTCTCCGGGCCGATAGCACCGCGCTCACACCCTTAGCTAGTCAAGGGTTCTATAGCATTATAAACGACTCACGTGGGCGCAAAACTTCACGCGTACACACGGTCTTGTCAAACTTGCCCCTCTCCTGCTGACTTGGGGCAGCGGCGACACACTCGCCCCGAGTTTGTTGAATTGTTCACCATACGTCACTCGTTCTAGGACATCAAGAATGGACTTGTCCAACCGGATCCTGTTGCTCTTGTTGACCAGGACAACTCCAACACCCTCGACGTTGGAGGTTAAGGTACAGGGCCGCAGGTCGGCGAGAGATCAAGTCCGGGAGTTGTATTAGGGCCAACTCGATCCCGGTGGAGCCCGTAGGTCGTCACCCGTGATACGGAGCGCTCATACAAGCGCCTGAATTGTCCGTGTCCTGTAGAATCCGGCGCCTGCAGCTCAACTCATACTATATTAAGTGAGGTTGCCTTACCGGTCACCGCCTTGCGACGTTAAAGCGCTGATAATGCTGTCTGTAGGGGGGGAACATGAAACCCGAGGCTGCTTTCCCCAGGCAGTTGACTGTAACATACCACGTCCGATCAAGTGCGGAACATGGTCAAGACACCCCCACACACGCAGATGCGTATCAGTCGCATCTCGGGCCGCGGGAGTACTGTTCAATAGGCTGTCGCAAACCTCATCAGTTCAGCGAGCACACAGTTTGTGTGCAATGATTGAAAGTGTGACCGGACTCGTCGGAAGGAGGCGCCTTGCTTAATTTCAGCAAAGTCTGTAGGCTGCTAGCAAAACGTCAACCTCAGTGCGAACGACCTCATATTGATACGCCAGAAACGAGGGCTTGGATAGCAGCGCCACAACGGTCAGCATGCACCACGAGGTGATTTATCATAAATACCTGGCAAATCAATCCGTGCCGGGGTATGGACAGTTCGCACCACTCGGCACAGAGTTCCGCGCCAAGGCCTGGTTATGGTCTCAACATCCCGGCGACAAAGGTTAGGTGAGCATCTTCGATGAATTTTGGCCGACAGCTCGCATCCAACAGGCCTTCCCGGTCCTAGTGTTATGCTGAGATGACGAAAGAGTATCAAAGGTTATTTCACAGCGGCTCCCGAACATGGCACCGAAAGACACGCTTCCATTCACCCGCCTCGGCTCGTGTGCGTGCAAAGTGATGAACCCACTCACTTTGTATTAGACTCGTTGGCCACAGGACACCGTGGGCATGAATCGCAGAATAGCTCGGGATGCCGTCCGGTGGCGTCGACGAGGGAACCGTGCTGCGTCCGCACCTGACACGCGAGGAATGACATGGCTGCGGGTTCAAAATCCGTCAACCAGCAGATCCAGTCACTCTGGCCACTGCCACTTGACGTGCCGCTGCTGATTTAGCTCGGGCTGTTATTTTCGCTCCAAGAAGATGTTGATAAGGAAAGTGCTCTGTCCAATAGGCATGATACAAATGCAACACTGAGGTTTGATAGACCCGTACGATGACGTGAAGGAGGTCTTCTGCGATGCGGCGTGGCGGGAGACCACGTCGATAGGACGCTGAAAACGACACAAATAGCGGTTGCGACGTGATATATAACAGCGCCCGTCGAATGGACGTACGTACCCTTTGAACTCAGCGGCAGATCGAGTTACCTCCCCCCTCCGAGACGGGTGCTAATATTTATAGAGCGTGGTAATGAGGACCAGAAATAACTGTGCCGAAGACTTGAAGTTGCAAGGAGAACTGACCCTGTAGACTGCGTAGACCAGTACACTCCGAGCCGCGATCTCACACAGCTGCCGCGACTATAGCAAACATGAGGGACAGCAGACACCCTTGTGTAATAACAGCAAGCAAGCGAGTCCGGGAACACTTCTATAGCTGATTTCGGGAAAAGACGACCAGCTGGGCAGCGGGCAAGCCGCGGTAGTTCACGAGAAGAGTCGATGTAGCATGTAGTGCGGAAGTCTAACTGCTGTGAAGGCGATAGTTCAGCGGGAAAGAGGTTAACTATGAGGCAGATCCAAGGCCAAAGGATTGAGCAGAGGAGACCAGGCGACTCTAGACGTCGACAAGGCGAGACCTGAGCAGTGCAGCCGACGCTGTGCAATACTCGAGGCCGCCGTGTTGCTTCGGGTCTTGCCGTGTCATTGGAGTGACCTTGTCACCGTGACTTGTGTAAACTCGCTTTCTTAATAAGGTATTCTCCTTTCTCTTTTAGGAGCATCCGGCAAGACCATAAGAAAACTGCTCTAATGTTTCTTGTCCTCTACGTCGCCCCAGATCCCCACTTCGAGTCTCATAATGGTATGCGACCTAACATACTCCTTCTCTATCCAGTCTGAATCCTTTGATATCACGGCGGTCACAGCTCAAGAACGGATAAGACCCTTATCTGAGAAATAGCACCTGATGCATTGCAAGGTCGAGGCATCAGCGGAGGACATGGCGGGTCGGGAATCAATGGACTCGAGCGCTCTCGCCAACATGGGACATGCGCTCCGTGTTGCGGTGAACAATGGCCGACACGCGGCAAGCCCTGCCCCCCACTGCGTCCCCACCTGTCCCTTGCGGCGGCCACCCCACAGCGTCACCTGTGGGACCAGAATAGAGTGCTGCGTGATAAGTATAGCACATTTAGCCCTCATTGCTTGTGCCAGTCTTTCTTGTTGCTCGCTTTCTTTTGCTCGCTTCGTTGTTGACTACCACCACCACGCTCCCTTCTCGCGATGCGAGCCGTCAGTCTCTTCCTCGCTGCAGTCCCTCTTGCATCCGTCGCAGGGTACTCTACAGGCCGCCATCCCGATGCCTATCATGACTTTCACGAACGCGAACTCCTCCGACGGAATATCGTTTACGACGGCTCAATCGCCAGCTCTTACGACTATGTAATTGTAGGCGGCGGCACCGCCGGCCTCGTCCTTGCGTCCCGTCTCTCCGAGAACTCCAACACCTCCGTCCTCGTCCTCGAAGCTGGAGACACCGGTGAAGCGGTGCAGGACAAAATCGGTCGGTTCCGTGGACCACACAACTATGATTAACATTGATATTGAGCGCCTTCAGACATTCCGTCATACACATACTACAACTCCCTCGTCGGCTCCTCCTACGACTGGGCTTACGAGACCGTCGCCCAGCCCGATGCCGACAACCGCCAGATCTCCTGGCCTCGTGGCAAGGTGCTCGGCGGTTCCTCCGCCATCAACGGTATGTACCTGGTGCGGCCCTCCGAGCTCGAGATCAATGCCTGGGCGAGTCTTGTCCCCAATGGCTCCATCTGGAATTGGGACAACATGTACGCCGCGATGAAAAAGAGCGAGACGTACACCCCACCGCTCAGCAACGTGCAGGATACCGCCAAAATCGAGTACAGCAACTCCAGCCACGGCTTCTCCGGCCCTCTGCACGCGTCGTACCCTGGCTAGTGCGTTTGCCACTAATTTTTGTCAGTGGCGCCCGATGATTGAACTTTCTTCAATAGCATGATGCCGCAGGTGGGAGACTGGACGCCGTCTCTGAACAACATCGACATCATGACGTCGCCGAATCCCGACGGCGGCGACGGCTGGGGTGCGTTCGTCGCCACCTCCGCGATCAACCCGGCCAACTGGACGCGCTCCTACTCGCGCTCCGCGTACATCGACCCGCTCCCGCCGCGCGCCAACCTCGCGATCCTGCCCAACGCGACCGTCACGCGCATCGTGTTCGCCAACGCTACCGGCGGCCTCACCGCGACCGGCGTGCAGTACGCGAGCCAGAAGGGCGCCACTGAGAGCACGGTCAGCGTGAACAAGGAGGTTATCCTCGCCGCGGGCGCGATCGGCAGCCCGCAGATACTCATGGTCAGTGGGGTGGGACCGCAGGACGTCCTTGAGGCTGCAGGAGTCGCGGTGCAGGTGGCGTTGCCGGGCGTCGGACAGCATCTCCAGGACCATCTGGTATGTCACCTTCCCTGTGCGCGTAGATACCCGACTGACCCACTGGCTGCCGTTTGCTAGTACGCGGAAGTGACGTGGAAGACGAACGAGCAGACCGCTGGCTCTATGTTCTACGGCAACTACTCGAACTTAAATGATGTAGATCCCACCTTTTCTTAACTGTTGCGTGGGCTGAGCATATGTTTTGTAGGTGCCGACCACGTCGACGCCGTTCCTCTCGTTTATCAATTCGGCGACTGCCTACGTCAACTTCAGCGCCCTCATCGCGGCGCCCGAAACCTACGCCCAGCAGATCGCTGATGCCGTGGACAGCAGCGCGTCCACCCTGGTCCCCAGCCAGTACTCCGAGGTCGTCGAGGGATACAAGGCCATATACAACCTCACAGCGCAGAAGCTCCTCCTGTCTTCCATCGGCGATATGGAGATTTTGCTCTCGCTGACCGGCGCAGGCCAGTACGAGCCGCAAGTCATCTCCATCCAGGCTGCACTGCAGCACCCGTTCAGGTAGTACCCAGCCTGATGTCCGCTCTAACGTTGCTTCTGAAATACGGCCCGTCTTCCAGCCAAGGCCGTCTGTACATCAACAGCTCGGACATCTTTGAATACCCCATCATCGACCCCCAGTATCTCTCCAATAACGCCGGTAAGCACTCGCTCGGCGAATCCTGTATATGACAGTTATGCCGACATTGTGCCGCACAGACCTCGTCATGCTTCGCGAAGGCCTGCGGTTCTGCAGGAGCCTCGGGAACACGGCTCCGCTGAGCGCTGCCATGGCGGAGGAGATCTCCCCCGGCTCATCCGTGCAGTCTGACGAACAGTGGGAAACCTGGCTTGCGCAGAACTCGTACACGGAGTACCACCCGTCGTGCTCGTGCGCGATGCTCCCGCAGAGCCAGGGCGGCGTCGTGGATGCCAACTTGAGGGTGTACGGGCTCGGTAAGTGCTCTCGCCGCCGTGCCCCCGTGCATCTTGGGACCTAACGCGCATCACCACAGCCAACGTCCGCGTGGCCGACGCCTCCGTCTTCCCCTTCCAGTTCTCCGCGCACGTACGTGTCCCCCCGCGTCTTGTCCCCGCAACCGCACTCACACGCGCGCGCGCACATCCCACAGCTGCAGGCACCCGTGTACGGCCTTGCGGAGCAGGCCGCGGAGCTCATCCGCGGGACGTACGTGAACGCCGACGCGGCGAACGCGACGTCGTCCGCGTCCGCGAGCTCTTCGGCGCCGTCGGCCACGACGTCCGCGTCGAGCCGCAAGTCCGCGGCCACGGTGCTCACGCCGCGGGTGCTGCCTGCCGCCCTTGGCGCTGTTGCGGCCGCCGCCCTGGCTGCGATTGCCCTCTAGGCTGCGCGCTGCGCGTCCGAGGGCCGCGCTAGCCGTGCCGCCCTCATTTCATTTTTTTTCTGAAGATTCTGATGCTTGGACTATTGATGCCTCGCGCCGAGGCTGCTGCTACCGACCATTGACCACTCCGCTCTTTCACATGGACTCTGCGCGGGCCGCGGCTGCGCCATGCAGGCTGTCGTGCCCGTGCTGCTGTATATGTACCACATATCGTACTAGTATCGTGACCCTTGCTTTTACTATCGCTGTCCTTGCGCCTCGCGATGAAAGGAGGCGCACGCACGCACGCTCTTTCTGGCAGGCGTACTCTGGTTCGGGCGTTGTATGTAGACTAGACCATGCGGACGCTGTGCGATCTGCCGTGTGCCATACTTGTTGTGTTTGTTAGTGTTCTATATCATGGACTGTGCTGACCTCAGCTTGTTGATACCATAGCAATTCCAATGTGCATCGTTCATGTTTGCTTCCCACTTCCCAGGATGTGCCGCGGGTGGCCGCGGTAGCTTGCTGTCATGAAGGAGACAGGGACAGCGTGCGAGATTGGGGTGCAGGGAGACGATCTGCGATGTGCGGTATCGTCGGGCTCTCACATGCACACACCGCCTCCAGGGTCGCGGTCAGATTAAGGTGGTGTCCGCCGTTGGATCTGGCCTCGGCTCGAGTGAAGGTTTTGTGGGCTGCATGTCCGGCTTCGACGAGCGCAACTGAGTGCGAACCTTCGTCAGAGTGGTTTCCCGGCGCGCGATCAACGGACGGCTACAGCACCCAATCTACTATGGCCTTGCGGACGACGTGCGGGTTCCAATGGCTGCTATGCGCACGCACCGGGTAGGGTACTTGGTGCTTTCAGTGAGGTCGTTTCCTGATGCCGCGGGACATGATGCATGATACAGTACTGTGACTACTGTCTCTGGGGGCTTCCCTCCCGAAAGTATGGACGAGTTGAACCGGTCGAGGGACGTTTATATGGCTAGTAGGTTCTATCGCTGGGCTAGGCGCTGTGACCCCCAGCGATAGTGCATAGATCGCTCCAGTTGGCGTTGATGAAACCACACTGACCACACTGACCACATTCTTACTTCTTACACCGTCAAATTGGCGTTGTATGCGGATCTCCATCAGTGCAATTGGACACTAGAAGTAGCGAAGGTGCCCGCCCTCCGCCGATTAGATAAGACTCACGAGTGTCTGAATCTTGGCAAGATCCGCTCGTCTTTCCGATTGTATTGGCCCTCATCTCGTCTATCTCACACCTCGACTCAACTGAGAACGGCCAGACTGCGCGATGTCCGCACAGACATGGACGCTAGGTGTTCCTGATCGCGAGAGGCTGATCCAGGCGGCGTTCGACGGTAAGTCCGGTTACTCGGTGGCTCAAGCGACGGTCCTCGGCACCCAAGTGGTCTCCAGAGGGCTGCCTCTCATCTCCGTCATCTCGCCTACTCGCGTTCTGTGCTCCCCGCTCAAGTCAACCTTGCCCCTCCGCAGCCAAGAAGAACGCCTATTGCAAGTATTCCAACTTCCCCGTCGGCGCTGCGCTCCTGACGGCGAGCGGCGAGGTCATCCGCGGCGCGAACATCGAGAACGCTTCATACGGTCAGTTGTCACGGAGCTTGTTAGGGTTCAGCACGAGTTTCTCAGGCCGTGTGGCCTCGGTGCATGCGGATTCGTAATGCGTTGGCAGGAATATGTCATTGATGATTGGCAGAAGGGTGCATGTTCGCGGTCGAGGCCTGACATGCAGTACTATGAGGGAGCACGCATTACCGTATCATGGCGTCACCCGGATAAGCTCTGCTGTATGAGAGCCTGGTTACTAACGCACGTCTCCTTCTTCGCCTGGATAGGTGGGACAATCTGCGCGGAGCGCACCGCTATCGTCAAGGCAGTGGTGAGTCCCTCCCGCAACCACCGCCCACGAGCCACGATTTCTGACGGCTAACGATGTGCGCCTTGTCTCCGGGGGGCAGAGCGAGGGAATCCGGTCGTTCGTGGGCCTCGCCGTCGTAACGTCAGCCGCTGCTGCGAATTTGTCCGTTGTGCATAAACTCACACCGTAATTCCACAGCAACATCGCCGAGGCGACGTCACCTTGTGGTATCTGCCGCCAGGTGCTGCGCGAGTTCTGCGCGCTGAACATGCCCGTGCTGCTCGTGCCCGCGGACTACGACCAGCGCGTCGCGGAGGGCAAGGCGGGCGGCGGCGTGCTGGAGACGAGCATAGGCGAGCTGCTCCCGCACAGCTTCGGCCCAGAGCACCTCGAGCTGCCCAGGCAGTCCTAGGGTCCGCGCGGACGAAGGACGGAATGTGTATGCTGATGTGTAGTGTACAGTGTACAGTGTGCATGCTATCTAAGTTCTCGTCTCTATTGCTACATCGTCGCTCCCATCGTCGCCCTGCACGAAGGTCCCGTTCTGTCTCTGCTCCTGCTCCTCCTTTTCCACCCCCCTGAACTCCTGCACGCGCCGGCGGATCTCCAGCCGCCGCTCGTGCCCGAACTCGCGCGCCTCGCGCCGCGCCTGTGCGAGGTTGTTCGCCGCAGCGGTATGCCGCTGGTCGGCGACGCCCAGGCCGGGCCAGAACAGCGGCGCGAGGCCCACGCCGAGGGACTGTGCGCGCGCGATCAGCGTCGGCAGTCGTATACCGTACACACACACAGACGCGCGGGCACGCACCAGGATCGCCGCGGCGATGATGAGGTGGTCCTTCCAGCCGTCGTCGCCGTCCGCGGGGGCGTCGCGGGCCGACCAGCCGTGCTCCCCCTCCCGCGCGCGTTCGGCCGCGGCGGCGCGGCGGGCCTCCTGCATGCGCTTGCGGCGCGCGAGCTCGGCGCGGATGGGGTCGGCGTGCTGCGGCGCGCGGCGGCCACGGAGGACGTCGTACGCGGCGGTGATGCGCTGGAAGCGGGCGTGGCGCTCGGGGGCGGGGACGTCGCGGCAGAGCGGCGAGTCGGGGTGGTGTGCGCGGACGAGGTCGTAGTCTTGCGTTTGCGCGGGCGGGGACCGAAAACAAACGGAAATCTTATTCAGCTGCGCGTGTCTGTGTTGTGGGTGTTGGAGGGGTGGGCGGGACGGCGACGGGCCCGGCGGGTGGGCCTGGGGGAGCAAGGGGCGGAGACGTACATCTGGCCTTGATGTCCTGCTGGGTCGCCCCTAATGGGAGATGGAATATCTCGTGCGGCGTCGGGTGTGCATGGGTGGGAAAAGGAAGGTGGTGGTAGTGGCGGTGGGCAGAGCAAGTCGCCCTGCGGGTGTGGACGAGGACGAGGCGCTGCATGGCGGTCAGGACGAGCAGTCCATGTCGGTCGATCGACGCGGCGCCTGTGGAGATCGCTGCACCCACTGCGGTGGAGCCGGAACGTCGTTTCAATCTTTCTTTTCCTTCTTTTTCTTTCAGCGTTGGTCAAACATGGAGAGTACGTACGGACTCTTGACCCTCTCGACTCTATGGCTTGCGAAGACGGGGAGATGAAGCGGTCGCAGTAGGTTGACGGGGGTGCCGGCGACGCCACGCTCTTGAGGGCAGCAAGACGCGGGCGTGAATATGGCGCGTCGGGGACGCTATCCTTAGAGACTGAGCTAGTGGCGATCGTGAATTCAAGGGAAAGGGCTTCCATCCCGTTTCGGATAGTGGTTTGCCGTTCTTGGACAGCCATGTTGTGCGCGTCATTGTCTCTACGCAGGTCGCATATGATGTCATGCCCGTCAAAACCCTTCCGTACTTATATAAACCGGCGTGGATGCCGAGAAGTGTACGTTCCCTCTCTCCCTCGAACTACCACGCAATAAGCCTACGCGTCGAGCGTTCGTTGTCGCAGATCTCGATCGCGGTTGTGTACTCTTTCGTCGTGGTCGCCGAGCTTTGTGCTCTTCGTTTGTTGCTCATTTGTTCTGTATTACCGACGCGCATACAGTCGGCCATGACGCGGTTATTTAACTTTCTTTGCTATCATAGTCGACAAGTCATCAAACCTACTGCAGAAGGCCCTCCCACTCCACTCACCCAATACGCAACTCTCGTGCTTCAAAATCTAGTGCGCGCGCAACAGTACCCGTTATAGGTTATGTCCTAACCATCCCACAACGCATCATTGCAGAGACCGATAAAGTAAACCATCCACACTGGCCGCAGAAGTGCAGACACCCGAGCAAGCCCACATCACCCTCTGTAATATCTGGTCGGCGCGAACGGCATAGGCGTCAACACAGCCTTCCTCAGCTTGTTGCGCACCTCCACCTCCACCTCCGTGCCCTTTTTGTGCCACCCCGACTCCACGTAGCCCATCGCGATGTTCTTGCCCAGCGTCGGCGACGGGATGCCCGACGTCACAACACCTGCACGGCCGCACATGCACTCATCAGGTCCGAGCGAATGGCAGCAGCAAGGCAAATACGTACCGACTAGGTCACTGCTCGACGGCGCGAATATCTTGGCCCCCTCTGCGCACGATATACTGTCAGAGCCTACGCGCGCAGCCACACCGCGCACTCACGTCTGGCAGGTGCACCTTCGACAATCATGCCTACACGCCGTCGTGGTGGGCCGTCCTTCAGATGCTTCAACACGCCCTCTGCACCGATGAACCCGCCCGTCTCACGGCGGTCTTTGCCTACACATGCCACCGCGTGAGGAACATGAAGAGGAATCGACAAGCGATCGACGGGACGCACCGATGACCCACGTCAGCCCTGCCTCCACGGGCGTTGTATCCTCATCAAGGTCCTGGCCGTACAGGCACATGCCCGCCTCGAGCCGCAGGCTGTCCCGCGCGCCGAGGCCGGTGAGTTGCACGGGTGACTTTGAGAGGAGGGCCGCGATCTCTTCCGTTTGTGCCGGTGGGATGGAGATCTATGCGTGTGAAAGATACCAGTCTGTCAGGATAGCCGTGCTGGAGAGATGGCCGACCTAGCCGACCTCAAAGCCATCCTCTCCCGTGTACCCGCCGCGCGCGACATGGAGCTTCGTGCCCTTGACAGGGACGAACGCGGACCTGCCGAACGTCAGCGTCGTCAGGTCGAACGTCGTCAGGTTCTGCAAATACTGTGCGGCCTCGGGACCTGATGTTTACATTATGTTCCCCGCATCGGTGCAGAAAGCCGTGGACACGCGCCTTGCAGCGCCAGGAGGCCCCAGTCCTCGAGCACCTCGAGTGCGACCTTGCCCGCTGCGGCGTGCTCGCTGGCGTTCCACTCTGCCAGCTTCGCCCGGAACCACGCGAGGTCGCGCTCGCGGCGGCCCGCGTTGGTCACGACGTAGAAGGCATCGTCGGCGTGCTTGGTGATGACGGTGTCGTCGATGATGCCGCCGCGCTCGTTGAGGAGGACAGAGAGTGTTGAGGAGAAAGGGGCAAGAACGGAGAGGGAGGACGGCGTCAGCCATTCGAGGAACGCGGTCGCGGTCGCGCCGCGGAAGCTAGGCCGGGGTTAATGCGGGCCCGGACTGGGGACGAGGACGTGGGCGTACTTGGACTGGACCATGTGTCCGACGTCGAAGAGTCCGGCGGACGTGCGGACGTGATGGTGACTCGCCACTGTGCGAATGTGAGAAATGGGAGTGTGCGACAGCAAAGCACTCACCTGCGCCGACGTCTCCGTACGACAGCGGCATGGAGAAGCCCGCAAACGGGACCATCTTGGCACCATTCTGGAGGTGAAAGCCATACAGTGCGGTCTTCCTGAGCTGCACTCTGGTGGTCAGTGCACAGGAGCCGCTGCACATCGCCGTGTACGCACCTCTCCTGACGCGGCGGTGGCTAGGAAGCGTGGTCGGGAGCGACTTGCTAGCGCGCGGGGCACGGACACAGCGCAGCGCGACGAGCCCACCCTGGCGGTACACTGTAGGACTGACATTGGCACGACGAGCGGGAGGAAGGAAAGGAAAGGGGCGGCAGCACTCACGGGAGCCCGAGCGGCGGAAGACGTTGGTGAACTGGGCGTGGGCAAATAATTTCAATTGATATTCATTTTGACTCTCCTCTTATGTACTTGCCATCATCGCGACGCTGCTGTCGATACGTCATGCCCGATATAGTAGCGGTTTCGGGGTCGTCTGGCACTCTGTGGACTAGCAAATACGGAAACTCGCCTTCCTGATTGGAATGTGTTGTGTCGGGCCATCGGTTCAGGGATGTTGCCAGGGATGCTGATATACTCGTAAGACTGCTAGGCCTCCATACATAACATTCACTGTGGCCTATCATTCTTTCTATGCCCTCCCACATCTTGCAAATATACCAAGACAGGTGTTCAGAGGCATATCTGTACCTCTCACAGCGATCTGTCATGGATGAATAAATTGAACACTATGCCTTTCTTATCCTCTCACACAGACTCCTCTAAGCAGCCATCTGCAGTGGATAAACCAAGTGAAAGCCATCAACATAGTGTGTTCTTGCTGCGTTATGTAAGCCCTGGGTCACTTGTCACGAAGGACCCCGACGAGTGGCACTCGGTGCTGTGTCTACGTGCATAGTCGCTTTCATTTTCTGCTCAAACAAGGCCCACCGACATCTCGGACACTGAATCAGACTCGACACATCTTCGCGCGACGGTCGGGGGAAACGCGGGCTTGAAACCATGTCTCGCTTTGTCAGGGCATCAAAGTATCGGTAAGTGTGTGATCATGCTCGACGTGTATCCCGTTCTCAGCACCCGTCCCACCAGCCATGTCTTTGGACAGCAGGGAAAGAAAGAATACGGCCTCGACAACATCAAAGTCTCCAACAGCGCTTGGGACACAAACGTCGTAGCAGCCTCTGCGGTGCGTCGCTCCCGTTCGCACCGTACCCTCTCTCTGACCTACCCCGAAGCGCTACATCAGCATCAACTGGAATGCCTCGGGTGGCGGTGCTTTCGCGATCCTGCCACTCCCCTCGCCGTTCGAGCCTCTTCCCCTCGGCTTCCCCTCCAAGCTCCCCGACCTCATCCCCCTCGCGCGCAGCCACTCTGCGCCGGTGCTCGACACAGACTGGTCGCCGTTCAATGACTCGGTGGTCGCGTCTGCGGGCGATGACGGCAAGGTGATGATCTGGAAGGTCGACGAGGCCGCGTTCGAGGGCTGGGGCCAGGAGCACTGGGAGCCCGTCGACTTTGAGCCTGTCGCGCGCATCGACGTATCGCCGCGCCGCGTAGGTCAGGTGCTGTTCCACCCGACCGCGAACAACGTGCTCGCATCCACGACAGGCGACCATGTTGTCAAGCTGTGGGACCTGGCGAGCCCAGAGTCAGCAAAGTCCGTCCTGAGTGGGCACGGAGATGCGATTCAGAGTCTGGCGTTCAATCCGTCGGGCAACCTCCTGGTAACGACGTGCAGGGACCGCAAGATCCGCCTGTTCGACCCCAGAGCAAGCGCAGAGGCGGTGCGCACCACTGAGGGACATGGCGGGATCAAGGTGCGTTGTGTCCCCGTCGTGCGATGGCCGTACACATCGTTGACCATCGCCGTTC